TCTGTTACACAAAGCAGTGTCTGTCTGTTATACAGAACAGTGTCCGTATGTTGTACAGAGCAATGTCTGTCTGTTATACAGAACAGTGTCCGTCTGTTATACAGAACAGTGTCCGTATGTTGTACAGAGCAATGTCTGTCTGTTATACAGAACAGTGTCCGTCTGTTATACAGAACAGTGTCCGTCTGTTACACAGAGCAGTGTCCGTCTGTTTTATAGAGCAGTGTCCCTCTGTTACACAGGGCAGTGTCCATCTGTTACACAGAGCAGTGTCCGTTTGTTACAGAGCTGTGTCCGTCTGTTACACAGAGCAGTTGTCTGTCTGTTGTACAGAGCAGTGTCCATGTGTTACACAGGGCAGTGTCCATGTGTTACACAGAGCAGTGTCCGTCTGTTACACAGAGTAGTTGTCTGTCTGTTGTACAGAACAGTGTCCATCTGTTACACAGAGCAGTGTCCATCTGTTACACAGAGCAGTATCCGTCTGTTACACAGAGCTGTGTCCGTCTGTTACACAGAGCAATGTCCGTCTGTTACACAGAGCAGTGTCCGTCTGTTACACAGAACAGTATCCATCTGTTACACAGAGCAGTATCCGTCTGTTACACAGAGCTGTGTCCGTCTGTTACACAGAGCAATGTCCGTCTGTTACACAGAGCAGTGTCCGTCTGTTACACAGAACAGTATCCGTCTGTTACACAGAGCAGTGTCCGTCTGTTACACAGAGCAATGTCCGTCTGTTACACAGAGCTGTGTCCGTCTGTTACACAGAGCAATGTCCGTCTGTTACACAGAGCAGTATCCGTCTGTTACACAGAGCAATGTCCGTCTGTTACACAGAGCAATGTCCGTCTGTTACACAGAGCAATGACCGTCTGTTACACAGAGCAATGTCCGTCTGTTACACAGAGCAATGACCGTCTGTTACACAGAGCAATGTCCGTCTGTTACACAGAGCAGTGTCCGTCTGTTACACAGAACAGTATCCGTCTGTTACACAGAGCAATGTCCGTCTGTTACACAGAGCAATGTCCGTCTGTTACACAGAGCAATGACCGTCTGTTACACAGAGCAATGTCCGTCTGTTACACAGGGCAGTGTCCGTCTGTTACACAGAGCAATGTCCGTCTGTTACACAGAGCAATGGCCGTCTGTTACACAGAGCAATGACCGTCTGTTACACAGAGCAATGTCCGTCTGTTACACAGAGCAATGGCCGTCTGTTACACAGAGCAATGTCCGTCTGTTACACAGAGCAATGTCCGTCTGTTGTACAAAGGCGTAGTAGTAGAAACTGTCTCAGGGACCGGGTGATAATCTGTTTATTGAAACAGGTGGTATTTGTCTAATTTATCTATATATGTTAATTTAACGTCATGCAGAGATTGTCATTCAATCAATCAAAAATCTCCACCATCAATCATTTTTAATTCGCAGTGGCCCAGTTTTGAAAGTACCTATTCACATTTTTGTTACGAATGAGCAAAACGTACACACGATTTCACCTGGAGACTTGTTTGTGAAACAGATTATTTCCGTGGTGTACACAATCCTACAGTGAGAGTCATTGTCATCCAAAGACATTGATCCTTAATCGATAATGTCAGAGCGTTAAAGTTTCGAGTGTACAATCGGCTTGAACTTTGTAAATGCATAAGATTCGAGAAAGCACGGATTGTACATATTATACATCAACATCTGGTGTAGAAAGCCGGATCTATCTGCCATGTTTGTTAAAGAATTAGTAACGGGTATGCTGATATATATACGGGTATAATCCCTTGTACTTAATACCCGTAGTGAGACATAACCCCAGGTCCCCGATGCACCAGAGAGATACCTGTAGATTATGGTCTGACGGACGGGCCAAGTCGCCAACATTGGATGGTCATGCTGTCAACATTTTCAACTCAAATTTTGTTGGATGTCACTATCATAACTTCTAACTTATCTGTCTGGCAAATGAAAGTTTACACTCATGTTTGATGGTGGGTAAAGATGACGCAAACCAGAAACGGTTTATCGATAGTGGTGTATTTGATACGGGTATAATACTTGTGTGGGGAGGACCATCTGAAACAGATGGTAGTAGGAGCCAGTACCACAACACAGCGCCACAGCAGAACTCCTGGCCACCTACATGTATGTACTCAGTAGAGGGTGATGTGATGTGCAGGGATGTGAGGCAGGCGTCGGTACTACACAACACAGCGCCACAGCAGAACTCCTGGCCACCTACATGTATGTACTCAGTAGAGGGTGATGTGATGTGCAGGGATGTGAGGCAGACGTCGGTACCACACAACACAGCGCCACAGCAGAACTCTTGGCCACCTACATGTATGTACCCAGTAGAGGGTGATGTGATGTACAGGGATGTGAGGCAGACGTCGGTACTGCACAACACAGCGCCACAGCAGAACTCTTGGCCACCTACATGTATGTACTCAGTAGAGGGTGATGTGATGTGCAGGGATGTGAGGCAGACGTCGGTACTGCACAACACAGCGCCACAGCAGAACTCTTGGCCACCTACATGTATGTACTCAGTAGAGGGTGATGTGATGTGCAGGGATGTGAGGCAGACGTCGGTACTGCACAACACAGCGCCACAGCAGAACTCTTGGCCACCTACATGTATGTACTCAGTAGAGGGTGATGTGATGTGCAGGGATGTGAGGCAGACGTCGGTACTGCACAACACAGCGCCACAGCAGAACTCTTGGCCACCTACGTGTATGTACTCAGTAGAGGGTGATGTGATGTGCAGGGATGTGAGGCAGACGTCGGTACTGCACAACACAGCGCCACAGCAGAACTCTTGGCCACCTACATGTATGTACTCAGTAGAGGGTGATGTGATGTGCAGGGATGTGAGGCAGACGTCGGTACTGCACAACACAGCGCCACAGCAGAACTCTTGGCCACCTACATGTATGTACTCAGTAGAGGGTGATGTGATGTGCAGGGATGTGAGGCAGACGTCGGTACTGCACAACACAGCGCCACAGCAGAACTCCTGGCCACCTACGTGTATGTACTCAGTGGAGGGTGATGTGATGTGCAGGGATGTGAGGCAGGCGTCGGTACTACACAACACTTTCGAAAACTATCATACAACTTTTAAAGTGAGAAGTATATTGCGCACATTTGCTAAAAATAATTTTATTTTTTTGTTTGGGTTGAAACGATGTATCACGATGCGTGTTATGATTGAATGTATTGATAATATAAGAGTGATGGAATTCGGCATACTTTGAATTATGGTAAAGTAGTCATTTCTTGAAGAAATGGCGTTAGTCATTCAGCGCTGTGTCCATTATCCCGTAGTGATGGATCGAACAAAGGTTGACAGCTTTCAACACCCATGCACTACTTTCACGACAGGAGACACCAAGAACGGTTTCGCGAGCAAACACTTTAACCACTGAGCTACATAACGCGCTCATTGACCTTAAACTCGTGTCACAACCAAACCTACTGATAATACTCACAGTGAACATACAGGTAGGTACCGGCGAGAAGCTTGCATCGGCGATTAGTGACTCGCCAAGATACGACACGACCAGATCTTGGCGTGTGACATCAGGGATTACCAGACCAGCCCCCGACTAGACATTTGATTAATATCCACTACGGAATATCTTAGAAGCATATGAAGGAATGTATATCACATGTATATCGGAGCTCAAGTTGACAGATTAAGTGTGTTTACGGCGGTAATAAGAACATAAAATCATTGGGCTGATAAGAATTCTTCAACAAAGACCACTTTAGTCATTGACAGTACTCCTTATATTACACATAGGGTCGCCGATATTTAAGAATTGACTTCAATATTTTTTTCGTTGTCGTAGGTGTAACGTAAAAACCGTTGTACAAACTTTGCGGAATACGGTAACACAAGCCCCGTTCATGTGGTTGTCAGCCAGTCAGTAAACAGAACTCCGTTAGTGGGCGTAGCCTAATTCTTTATAAAGTTTGTGGAATCATAAAATGAAAGAATTATTGCTTGGTTAGCCCATCAAGTGCCACAGAGTCATTTGTAATATGTGTATAGCCAGTAAAGGGAATTTAGTCATTCACCCCGAGCGTTATAGTTCTTCATGCTGATACGCTAGTTTATTCTTAGCGTAGATGCCCATAGCAACGTAAGGTCTTTTGAACGCATAAATATTGAAGATGGGCTATCCATTTTCTGGAACGCCTCAAACGATTTATGTGACTTCATTCCAAGTCTCAACTTGAGAGCAGGAATTTAACATTTTTCAACATTTTCTCAAAAAAAGACCATGGGCAATGTAAAAATTATAAAGCATAACCTTCTCGAAACTTGGAATTGTGGATCAACTGTCCCGCGTGAAGTGATGTTGAGCCCTGGCGGAATTCCGAGTCGCGAGTAGCTTTTTCTCTAATTATAACGCCCAGTCATCTAAGGCACCGCGATTCGCTGTGCAGAGTTGCGTCCCTTGGGCACGCCAGAAACCTATGATTGTGGGTTCGAATCCCGGTTCGCCCCGATTATGTTTCTAGGTTTGTCAGCACCATACCCGTGCTCGTGGGTTTCACCGAATAGTAAACGTCTGAGACTTGCATCACTTCGGGATTTCTTCCCACATTTAGCTGACACGCCGTGATATAACTGGAATACTGTTAAAAGCGGCGTTAAACCAAACTCACTCACTAACTCACTCGCTGTTATTATAACGTGAGAGTGAGATCAGTGTCACGCCGCTTTGAACATTATTTCATTTATTTCACGCCGTGTGAAAGTAAATCCTACAGTGACGATGTTCGTGCCATCCTGATTTTGCCACAATGTTGCCCAAAGTGAATTGAGGCAAAATCAAATCTCAAGGCTCAAATCTCAGAAGAAGAAACGTAGCAGAGATTATACGAAGGCTTGAAGCAATCAGGCTGAGACACCCGCGGGGTCTGTGCACGAGAGATTAAATTTGTTCAGTATTTGAACCATAGCAACAAAGTTCCAAGTCAGTACGGACTGTTGTGCTCTTATATTTATTCCAGAGACCAGATTATCATAGTCAGACAAAAGGTTTATATCATAATATCAGTCACAAGTAAGAATTGACCTACTATATGTCATCCATCAAAGAACTACCCACGCCTGGTGACCATTGTGACCAACTAATCCCCTTATCTGTGTCAAGTAGACTTGACGCCTGATGACAGGGTTACTGATCACCATATAAATAAGTCTGGAGCGCCATGGTAAAATGTCGAACTAATTTAAAGGTCAGTTCATAAATATAAAGGCTTTTTATTCCAACAACCCGGTTAAAAAAAGGTTATGAACATGACAACCAACTTAAAATTGCAATCAGTCTGTACAAAGCTTCATTGCAGCTCGTAACACATTCGTAAGACTCTAGGTAAGGCGAAACATGTCGCTGTTCGGACATTTTATACAAAGCATAACGTCACGACTGGTGGCACCCTCAAATCAATGAGGGGTCATGGGTGGCCCAGTCATCTAAGGCGCCGCGATTCGCTGTGCAGAGTTGCGTCCCTTGGGCACGCCAGAAACCTATGATTGTGGGTTCGAATCCCGGTTCGCCCCGATTATGTTTCTAGGTTTGTCAGCACCATGCCCGTGCTCGTGGGTTTCACCGAAGTGGTAAACGTCTGAAACCTGCATCACTGCTGACACGCCGCGATATGACTGGAATACCTGTTAAAAGCGGCGTTAAACCCAACTCACTCACTCACTCACACTCAAATCAATGGAGTAGTGTTTAATGTAACATCAAACAAACCATATTAAATACATTTCTGATAAGAAAAAAACATAGAGGTCACTGATAAAGATGCACATTTTGTACTTCTAATTCATAATTCGCTGGCGTTCTCGCTGAGGTATCGCCTCCCAATCGGCAGTCCTCTCAAAGTATACTTGTGGTGGATGGTGAACCTTCTTCTTGAACACACACACGGCACCTATAATAGCCAGGACGATGATCACAGCGAAGGAAATGGACACGTGTGTCTTGTTGATGTGATAATTGTTATAACTGACAGTATAATGGTTGGAGTCATCGTTTGTTTGTGTTTGGTTCACAGCGATGTACATCATGACGGTGATCCCCCTGTCCACCAGGTCCGCGATGTAAGCACCGTCGCTGTCAGGAACAGATATAGCTGCCACCCCTTCAGCTGTAACACCAATTATCATACATCAGTTTCTCCGGGATATTTTTTCGTTAATTGTTTTATCTGGGGCAGACGTCTAAGATGCCGCAATTCGCTTTCGAGAGTTGCGTCCCTTAGGCGTGTCAGAAACTTATAATCTGTGATCGAATCCAAAAATTGTTTTCTCGGTTTGTCAGCACCCTACCCGTGCTCATGGGTTTGACCCAACTGAACAAAACTTTTAAGATCTGCATCGCCTCGTCATTTACTGCCATATAAAGCTGACACGCCGTCATATAACTGGAATAATGTTCAATCCGGCGTTTAACCAAAGTAACTCACTTCAGTACTAATTGTTTAAACTAATAAATGAATATCGTTTGCGCAAGTCAGCAATATTCCAGCGGCATTAACATTAGGAAGTTAGGCAAACCCTTGGTTGAAAGCACGAACAACGCATGATGCCGCCGGGTCACAGTGACACAGAATCGCCAGGTCACACATTGTCACCACCCGATCATCATTTTGCTCGGCTTTACGACAGACATGGATCCACGAGAAATCCTCACGGGATGAGATTCGTAAACATAAGGATATCATGAACCTATTATGCTTCTAATACACGCCTGTACTACTTACAGCAAGTCCTTAACGCTGTAGTTAGCACTATTGTAGCTGTGTGTGTAACACAAGTCTGAACCAAACAACCCAGTGACTGAAAGCATGAGCATTGATACGAGCAATGTGCCACGGTGACACACATTACCATCTGATCCTCATTCTAGCCCACTCTCACGACGAATCAAAACGAGGTCCTGAAGACTTAATCTCACCCGAAAACTCCACACAGCGTATACTATTTAGACACCAACCTTTTACTTTTCGTTAGGGGGGTGGGGTGGTATTTTTCAGTACATCCAACAAATTTATTAAAGGATTTATACTTTGGTAAACCATAATGAGAAACATGATTTCCAGCATTTTCGGAAACACATTATTTTTTATATTTAACTAGTCGCATAATGGAATAATTGATGCTATTGATAATAAAATTAGTCATTTGTTATTTAGAAGCTGAATGTTGGTGCTTGCAAAATGATATGTTTATACACTAGGAGTCCAAAGTGTTACGGTATACAAACCAGACGAACAAAATTACCAACCGTCATGTTTCACAGCATACGTCACCTTCCCCGTAGATCCATTGCCATAGACAACGACAGCGGAGGCATTATATTTCACAGCTTTGGCCATCTTCTCTAACATGGGGCACTCCCCATGGGTAATCAAAGCTATCCAACTAACCGGAGGAACTGTCATACTATAATCGTCACAGCCATGTGTTTTGCCTGTAACAGTTTTAACGTGGACGACTCTACCTATCACAGGTTCCAACCTGGTCAACTTGACTCCGGCTGCAAATCTTCCCTTGCTGCTTTCATACGACAGAGTGTCATTCGTTGTCTCCCGTCTGTAGGATATGTTGAAATATACCTTGTACTGCGTCTCCGCCACCGTCGGCATCGCAAGTAACGGTGACAGTAACAGCATCACCATTGTCATCTTGGAGAAGAGACGTGTATTTGGTGGCCATATTTGATTTTTGATTGTTTCTGGAACCAACTTAAAAACAGGTTCCGTTCTGTTACAATATCTCACCATGGCGGGACTTTCTTGCACCATGTTGGTGCACAATGAACGCTGCGCCTCTATCGTGCCACGTATATGTATGATCTATGTTCAACAACATTGGTCATCGTCATTCATAACATTTCGACATATGAACGTTTCAGAATATAAACGCTCCCTTCCATCTGCAACAAAACACCGACACCTGGCGTTGTGTCTTGAAATCAAACATATCCAATCTTCTGAACACAATTTTGAATGTTTATATCGAACACAGTAGGTAGTTTGAGCCGCTATGACCTGAACTACGTCGCGTTCTTGTGTGACGTCATGCTATTGATATTGCTTTACAACGGTACTGTTCACAAGGTCACTGTGAAGGTCAGGTGACGTCGGTAGAGGGTTTATGCGCATACTAATGTGGACACAGTTGCATTTAACTCCCAGTCTTGTCCGCTTTTATTCAAAACTATACAACACCGTCCGATTTTAGAACAGTTTTTTTCTTTTCTTAAATGGGTTAGTATTCACGCACTTTAAATAGGAATTTAAACGCCCGCCTTTTACAATGGCATACATATGGGTGTAACTCGTACACGATTGTTACCGCTCATGCTTCTTAACAGTGTGACATCGTGTTTCCCAAGCCAGACAGCCTAGGTCGCAGCTCTCTGATATCTATCACTGGTTTGCCTGGCCCATTATTTATTGTTCGCCTTTAAAACAACATTCACTCACTCACTCAACTCTCTGTAGTGATCACGGTTAACCGCTCACTCAAGTTTCACAAATTACACCTTTCATGCCGAATGGTTCATATGTAATAAAATATACGTTACAAAGATGTGTGCGGGCGGGTGTGAGTTTGGCTTAACGACGCTGTGAACAGTGTTTCAGTTATACGACAGGGTGCCAGCTTGATACCCTTGTACAACACCACCTGTGGGGGCCATGGTCTCTAATACTGTGCGAACGACCCATAACTGCAGGTGGTAGATAAAATGCTTAATTTAAGTGTCATTCACGTCATTACTGAAACCACTTGAATGCCTAACTGCATCCTGAGACTCCCTCACGCCCTTCCTGGACAAATTACTGGTCTGTTCGTCGATGCAATCCTGCTGTCTGCTTTGTGTGAAACGTTCAGGACGCAATACATTACACTGCATAATGTTGAGACACCTGTAGCAGCTGAATACAGCCGTAATGGATCAATGGCTGTGTACGTTCATGTGGACTATTGTATTTAAGATCTGATCCATGTCAGTGCTTGAATATCATAGCCATGATGATAATGGCAATGGGTCACTTGGGTGTTCCTATCATCTTGGGATAAACTCGATGGATGGGGAGCATTTCCTCGGTGTGTGCAGGCAATGTCTAACCACAAACATCTTGTGTTCAGTTCAACGATACAGTGGCGTGATGTTCTTAAATTGAGATATGTTTATTTAGTAAATGAACACTTACACTTTATTTAGCAAGACGATAGAGGCTTGCAGCTTTTGTAGTTGTAACATGAGATTACATCTTACCAGATTGTGTTTGTTCAGAATGGACGAGACATGTAACGCTGCAATATGATGGCGGTCTGTAAAAAATCAAGTCTGGACAAGATAATCCAGTGATCAATATCATGAGCATCGATCCACGAAATCAGGGTACCATGTCACTTATCAACCTGGCACCGATCTATTTGGTCGCCTCTTACGACCATCATGACTTGCTGTGGACGTATTCTTACCAGGAGTTACGAGTATATAGCGACGTGTGTGTGTGTGTGCGTGTGCGTGTGTGTGTGCCAATTTTATGCTGCTAGCTAACTGAGATATCAAGTCGCAGTTTAAGATGAATACCCCACTCAGACACAGTATGCTACTCTGAGCCGACCAGTCCTTGTTTAAGCCCCCTTAATGTCGGACGCCAGGAAGGGTAACAAGTACCATCTTTTATTTCTTTTGGTATGACGCGCCCGGATCGGACCCCCGACCTTCCACTCTCCGGCAGACCCTCTACTACTAGACCATGGGGGCGGTCCAAATAATTACGAATGGGAACATATCCAAGTGCAGAAAGGTGAGAAGAACAAGAACTGCTGCATCAGAGATCACCAATCCGTGACCTACTGCTGTCCGACTTGACCAAACACACAGTTCAGGACACAATCTTGACTTCATCCTGGTCAGAGAAATGCAGTATGTTTCTGGCTGCTTGTTTGTTTGTTGTTTAACAACGCACTCAGCAATATTCCAGCTATATGACAGCAGTCTGTAAATAATCAAGTCTGGACAAGACAATCCAGTGATCGATATCATGATCCACGCAATCGGGATCGATGACATGCATCAACCAAGTCTGACCACCCGATCACGTTAGTCACCTCTTACGACAAGCATAGCTTTAACGCCATGCATGGGTTGCTGAAGACCAATACTCAACATGGGTCTTCAGAGTTGTTAATCTTTATCAATGTAATGAAATGTAGTGGTGGTTTAGGAACACACTCTGTTTATATCAAGTCTACGTGTAGTGTCAGCTGTAAAATATTCACAAGTTGCATCTCCCTTCATTTGATTCCAGAATCAGTTAGTCAGAATAAGTTCCCACTACCTTTTTAAGGGCCAACCATTGAGGATCATGTGGTTAAGTTAGAAAATGCTGGTGAGGGAGAAGCTTATAGGCGGAGTGTGTTGCCTGGGCAAGTGGCTCTGTTTGAAATGTGCCTGTTCACCCCCTGGGAGGATGAGATGGCCATCTGGATGCAAACCTTCTGGTGCCTAACAGGCATTGAGTTGTATACTCCCAATGGAAATTGTTGATTGAAGCCCTGATAGGGGTCATAACTGGGTAGCATCAGGACCTAGACTAACATCTAGTCTCTGAAATGAACATATCCTACATAAAAAAACAGTTGTTCAGTTATCTTAATAAAAATATAATAAAAAGGAGCCCAGTGACTCTCTTCCTGATACTGCAGTGATCTAGACTTGCCAAACATTATAGACTTGCATGGGCTGTATTTGATATATATTTGTATCAGGGTCTTATGGCATGGATGAAGAACAATATGAATATGCATTAATATTATTATTATTAGTTTCCCAGGCCCCAGAACAACCAATGCACACTACTAGTCATGTCTTATGACAACCAAGAATACGACCCATGAAGACCCAGGATGAGGTCTTCAGCACTCCATGTTTGCTGTAAGAGGTGACTTTGCTTGTTGTTAGAGGCGGCTAACATGATCCTGATCGGGTGAACAGGCTCCCTGACTGGGTTCATGCATGTCATTGTATACCATGGTCAATTATTTACAGACTGACGTCATATAGCTGCAAAATTGCGGAGTGCTGCATGAAATAAGAAACCAACCAACCAAGAATACTGTTAACTTCATGTACAAACAAACTCCCTGGGGCCACGTTAGAATGAGTCCCCCTCAGCCTATATGTATATTTGGGATAAGAAGCACCTTGATTTGGTGGGACTGTATACTTTTGCCTCAATGGCACGATACGTTGCATATAATATCAACCAGTGGTTTGTCTGGCACACACACGATTTATTTCTAGATGCTGGGATATTGCTGCAGGGTTGAGAACATTCACTCACGTTTGTACACATTTCTGAAGAGGGCAGTTTTCTAATAAATACACAAAAATGACATTATCAGTAATTTTCTTTATTCACAAATTTAACAATCATAAATCTTGTATTTTTACTTTGTCAAACAATAGTGACACAGAAATACTTTACCCATCTTCTGTTCATTGGCATTGCACTGTCAACATGAGCAGCACACAGAAGCAGAAAACAGAAGGCAATGCTTTGATCTTTTCAAAACACTTTGAGGCAAAGTTTACATACAGTCCTAGCTGGGTGAAAAAGTCAACTGGTGAATGCACATTCCTTCAATGAAATAACCATGTATTTCTGTCAAGCCTAGTCCTCAAACATTGGTTCCGTTTCATCCAAGTCATGAGCTGGGATTATCATGTGACTCCATTAAATCTACACATGAAACAATACTGATAAAATACATCGGTGACAATGACATGATCAAGTTCTTTGGTAGATACAGAATAAGTTCATTGGAGAAAAGTAATGTGGTTTTAATATACTTGTTCCCTGTCAACTTCAGCAAAAGGAAATGCCATTACACTTCCTCCATCTTTGTCTTCATCAAAGCAACATTCATACAATTCTTGGAAGTCACAGTATATTTTTTCCTCACAAAGAATTTATTTTTTTCAAAAATAGCTAACAAAACCAGCGTACCCAAGGTACAGAATCTCACCTTCATTGAGTACTTCAACACTTGAATGACAATGCTCTAAAGTCCATTTTGCAATATTTTCAAATGCAATAAACAATATTTCTGAAAAACTGAAAACTATGGCTCTGTTGGTTGGATATTAAAGAAAGGAAACTTTCAAAGAGTGTTTCCAATTGTCACAGATACTTCTGTAATAATTATGACCTGTCATGACTGCTACTGAAATTTTCATGTTCCACATGTGTAAATACGATATTGACATGCTCAGTGGTTTGGGGAGAACAAATGTTAAAGTCAGTGCTGGCAGATGGTGGACAGACAGGGCTAAAGACACAAGCTCACATTGATAATGTCAAGGTCAACCACGGGTGACATCAAGGACAATGCATGAAACACTACATTGGAAACGGAAAAGCTAAACTCCACAAAAAGTATCACAACTGGCCTAGCACTTTGATGCACAAATCAACAAAACAGTTGAAAAAATCCAAAACACATTTTGAATACAAACAGAAAATCAGCCAGCATGACTTCTTTCACACAAAAATAGACAAAATCACCTGACACTAATATTTTTTCTTCTGTAGAGTAACATATCTCACAAATAGCACAGTGTTTAATAACATCCTCAGTCCATCCAGTACCTCTGGTGAATCTGTTACATGTATTGTGCACAGTTGTTAGCCTGTCCAACTGTCACTGTACAGCCCACATGGCTATAAGAGTTGTCTCCCTTGACTAACAAAAGGGGCATTTCACACCAACTGATTCCAGTCGGTCTCTTGGAAGAGTGTTACCTCTCCTTTGTTTCAATGAATATAAAGAAATCTTCAATTGCCACTGTTAACTAAATCTGTCTAACTTACTTCATTATAGGGCATTCTATTAGTGTAATGGTTCTGTAATTTATTGTTGTACTTCAGTCTTCATAAATCTAGGCCACAACATTACATCTTTCATTATACTAGTATGCAGTACTACAGCTTTCATACACCTTGGAAGCAACACTGCAGCTTTCATAAACCTTGGAAGCAACACTGCAGCTTTCATAAACCTTGGATGCAACACTACAGCTTCATAAACCTTGGATGCAACACTACAGCTTTCATAAACCTTGGATGCAGCACTGCAGCTTCATAAACCTTGGAAACAACACAACAGCTTTCATAAACCTTGGAAGCAACACTGCAGCTTTCATAAACCTTGGATGCAGCACTGCAGCTTCATAAACCTTGGAAACAACACAACAACTTTCATAAACCTTGGATGCAGCACTACAGCTTTCACAAACCTTGGATCCAGCACTACGCTTTCACAAACCTTGGATGCCACACTAAAAACTACAACACTACAACTTTCACAAAGCCAGGATGCCACACTACAGCTTTCATTACCCGACTGTGCAAGGCTAGAATAATCCTGAAGCTGTAAGCCAACAGCCTGAGTGACCCAACCCTGAACCTCAGAACACAAGACTGACTCCATTAAGATCGTACTGCAAACCAACTGCCCCATCACTGGAGAAACTGCAAATTCTGTGATGTGTAGAAACTGTACTGTGCTTTGTGACTGATTGACTTTATGTAGATTGTGAGTTTTGAAATCTTTTATTCTAATTTTGACAAATAGTCTAAATGACAAAACAATTTGTAACAAATCAATGTTTCTTAAAAAACTTCCAGCATGTACTTTGTTAAATATGTTTTATAGATGCCAATTGTACCTAAATTCATGAAAATTTAGTCCAACTGAGGTAACTATACTGGATCCAGTACAGGTTTGTGTGAATACCACTGACATGGTGAAATCCTAAAGACTTTTTACTGAAGATAAGTGAATCAGTTGGTCTTTAATCTTTACAGTTCGACTAAGGCATCTGAGTGTAAGACGGCAGCCCAGAGTGATGCAGATCACAGATGTGTAAATTTTCATGAAAACTACGATCATGGGTAAGGTGCTTAGAAACCAACTATCATAATCTAGGTGAGAATATCAAGAGTTAAAGACCAGCCGATCTTGGGACTGTCTTCGAAATATGTCAGAAATAATACAGGTCATTATCAACAGAGAGAGGCAATGAGATGTGAAGAGATCAAACATGCAACTGCTGCGTGATTGTCCCAAATCATCAGGTCTGAATCTACACATGGGCAGCCAGACTAAGAGACAAAAGGGAAGCACACCTGAAGATTATGCCATTATAACAGAAAAAAACACAAATAACAATCAAATCAACAATGCCATTTATGGTAGACGTTTCTTTGTCAGATAAACCAGAAACATGTCCTTATCAGAACTACTTGTATTTCTGCCATACATCAACATTGGCCTATGAAGTATTGCAGGATAGGGGTTCACTATGGTAATGGACCCGGTATGTCATTCTTTACTAAGGCAGGATGGGAATCATTTGTATGCCTGCCATCGTTGAGGCCTCTCCATAATATGTGCGTGTTCCCGGTATCCTGATGGTTGATCAGTCTATAATCGGCAGACCAAGACCAGAAACTTTCATTGGTTTTCTTTGAGTTGCACCATAGCTCTTATTACTATCCTAGTATTGTCTGTATTGTATGTAAATAGCACACATTTGTTCCACTTCACAATAGATAAAACAGTCATTATCTGAATTTGAAAGCTGTTTTTTACTATCATTCTGCAAATTAATGTTTTTCAAAGAAATAAAAAAAAAACCCACAAAAAAACCCACAAAAAAACCCAACAAAACAAACCCTACTTTAGGATGGGTTGAATTGTTTAGCGTGATGAAATCTGATACAGTAAGGCAAAAAGAAGAACAAAAGTGAAGTTTAGTCAATAGCAACAAGAACACAATAGAATGACTCCCATTCCAAGGTAAACTGACTGTTGACATATTGAGAGTTACCCCCCTTTGCTGTCACAGCCTTGTGGGGATTCTGGCTAAGATTAGCTAGTTCCCCAGTATCGCTTGTTGTACGAGCAGACTTCAGAGGACAAGTTGGCTGGGTTTGATGACTTGGCCGATAACATGTCATCATGCCCTGATGGCATTGATTGTTGCTCATGCTGTCAATCACTGGTTTGCCTGGTCTCAACCTGTGAAGATCCGGGTTAGAATAGGTCTTCAGCAACCCAAGCATGCCCTAAAAGGCGACTTTGCTTGTCGTAAGAGGCGACTGACAGGATCGGTTGGCCAGGCTTGCTGACTTGGATGATGCAGGTCAACTGCGTGGATCGATGCTCATGATGTCGAGTTACTGGATTGTTAGGTTCAGACTCGATCATTTAGAGACTGACGTCATATAGCTGGAATATTGACTGTGTGGGTTAAACAACAAACAAACCACCCTGTTTCTAGACAATTTTTACAGGCTGTCGTGATACAGCTGGAATATTACATTCAACTACAAGGCTGAAGATAAAGCAGGTGGATGTAAAAAGCAAAGTGAGGCTGACGATGGCTACTTGGGTAACATACTTTAGCAACTGACAAGGGGAAATGCTGAAAAAGACTTTTTCCCACATTATCATGTGTATGTCTTCTGTAGACTGGTACACAACAATACTTGACACCATGAGACTGGTCAGAGTAGATTGTACCATGTCTGGTGATACACAGCACGTACCACATAACTCCACGCAGCATGCACAATGTCAGGGTTTGCTGTTTATTTATGGATTTCAAAGCAGACGATTTTCAAAAAACAAAACGTTTTGGCCTACCATAAATGAAAAGCATATTCTTAGAACAGGACCCATCCTCCTGTATTTTCATTCTGTAATGAAAAATACCCTGGATCAATCTGCCACCATAGCTTCATTCTGAATTAGGTTTGAAGTCTTCATTTAAAACAGTCTTCTGATTGAGTCAAATGTACTAAGGGTTCGCTCGTACGAGGTCACAATTGTGAATGTAGATGTATATTTCAGCATTCAGAAAGAGCATGTTGATTTGTTGCTGACTTCCGGCTCAGTGAAGAGAGAAATTCTGGGGTAAGTCAGTGATGAGGGAACTGATATGATGACGTCACTTCTGAAGCTACGGTGGAGAATGGGTCCAGGGTAATAGAATGGAGACAGGTTACATGGGATAGTTGAGGAGAAACAGGAACAGATCTGGGGTATACCAGTTAGTGAGTACAGGTACGCCTACAACTACCTACCACTGTGGTTATCTGACTGCACTTCTGTATCCAGTCTGGCCCTAACAGCAGGACAGTCTACAGTCACTGCTTCTTCTTGTTGAAGAACAGCTCACATTTACATGTAAGGTATCACAACAATATTGGGATTGAGTCTCAGATTTGTTTGCAAGTTTGGATTAATGTAAGGTCTCCAGATACACCCACTTTGAATACAGTGATCAATGTTGACATATGATACTCCAAATACTACATACAAGATATTTTGCTAGAATGCTACAAAGCACTGTTTGATGTTGAAAGGCGTACGCTATCTTAACTTGAACTTAGACTTGACTCTCTTTTTCTGGTGAACACTTGATGAGCTTGCTGAGCTCCCTACGCTGATGTGATGTGACGGCAAAGTGTAGAGCCCAGAGGACAAGCAGGTTGTTATATGCATTCTTTGAGTCTCCGTCCAGGTGTGGACAAAGACGACAGACATCCAACAACACCTTCACGCTGTCAAATGGGTTGGGAAAAGAAACCTGAAATAGAGAGTGATGACGTCAAAGTAGAAAGTACATCATGACACAGAGAAGTCTGAAAGTATTGAATATGCAAAATCAAATATGCATTTGTTTCTAAAAGCCAACTGGTATGTGTTTAAAACATACTCTGATTTAAAAAAGCATTTTTAATCGAATGCTGGTATAGTCAATTTAATGCTAAACACACACTATCGTGATATTACTGCCCAAATATTACCCCAGTCTTGACACTGCTACATTCTTGGACCATGCTGGTTGGCTGGTTTGTTGTTTAACCCCGCACTCAGCAATATTTCAGCTATATGATGGCGGTCTGTAAATAATCGAGTCTGGACAAGGCAATCCAGTGATTGACATCATGAGCATCGATCCACGCAATTGGGATACAATGACATGCATCAACCAAGTCAGCGAGCCTGACCACCCGATCCCGTTAGTCGCCTTTTACGACAAGCATAGTCGCCTTTTATGGCAAGAATGGGTTGCTAAGGACCTATTCTATCTCGGATCTTCTCGGGTCTGGACCATGCTGGTAAATGCCATACTTCAGAATATATTTTCCAACCATCAAACCGAACTCTGATCATACATAATCCTTGAAAGCAGACCTTGTATCAGATTTTTCAACCAGTTTTATGCTGCTTTCCAAGAAAGCATCACGTTAGTGAAATACCTCTTCCAAGATACACTTGACCACTCCTGATGGTCATCTACATAGTTCTATTCCTACTGGACATCCAGTGTGCCCTGCCAATTCCCATTTTGTTGCCTGTTACAAGAAACTACTTGAAACTACTCAGCTCCCCAAACAGAAAATATGAGAAGTCCATCTCCATCTACTCACCACAGAGCTGTCTGGAACCCGCTTCAGTTCATGCATCACATACTCCTGCTCTTCCTTCAGCACTGCCATGGTAACATAGGGCCTGAAATACTTCTCATCTACTGGCATTCCATACCACTCATCCGGCACATTGATGTATTTGGCTGGATTCAACACACAGCTGGCCTTCCTCGGTCGGGAGTCCACACTCTCACTATTATGTGGCTCATCTTCCCAGAGAACCTTCCGAGACTTGGCAAAAGTTTCAGTTCCAGAAAATGACACTAACTCAATGTCTGATGGATCAAGAGGGTTGCAGAGACTGGCCACAGTTCCTGCTGCAGCAAGACCATCCTTGAGTCCATTAGGAACAGTGGAGTGTGCTGATGCTGATGGTGATGATGGGGATGCTGCCTGAGCACTCCCCCCATCACCTGCCTGACTTGAACCTGTGTTCTCTGTGGCATCCCCACTACTGCTGAAGCCGTTGTTATTGTTCTCTCCTCCAGCTGCTTGTTGAGGAGCTCGTTTGAATACTCTTGACTGGTGGTCCTTGGATTTGTCTGCCAGAAGGTGTTTGGAGATGGCTTTATGAATGTAGCCAAGGGTCTCTGTAAGAGAATGCTTTTTGGCCTGTATATCCCAGAGCAGGCCTCTGGATATCTGTTTCAGTTTGGTGATTGATAACAACTGAACACTGTCAGCAGTTTGGCACTTTTTGGATACATCCCTTTGGTCATGGCTTTCAGATGGAATGGAATCCTTATCCAAGGCACTTTGCCCTCCTTGGGCACCATCAACATTTGTCCCACTTGCACCCTCCAAGACACTTACATCCTTCTCACAGCCGGCATTAGCCTTGCTTACATCCTCAGAAATCTCTTTGGAATCAGTTGGAATATCTGTCTGACCTTGACCAACTGAAACAGATTGACCTTCACCTTGTACAATACACTGACCCTGATCATCACTTGATATTGCTGGTTCACTTTCACTTTTAACCTTGGAGGAATCCTGACTGCGAGATAAAACAACAGACTGGCCACTTTGACCTGATGCAGACTGACCTTCACCTTCAACTGGATTATCCGACTCTCTAAGAGTCAGCTGCTCAAGATCCACATTCGCCTGGACCTTGAAGTCATCATCTACAGATGCTTCTGCAGTCTGACCTTGAGTGAGGGAATCCTCCAGTATGGTGTTCTTGAGGTAATGCAGGATCGCAAGGTAGTAGTAGGCTCGGAGACAGTCTAGCTCCCGACAGCGGAGCCCCGAGGTGGACACACTGTCATCCTCCTTGATGTCGGTGAGGTAGCGTTTGAGTGAGGGTGCCTTCCCGGACCCCTCCACCTCCAGGTGGGCCTCCATGCTGATGAGGACTCGCAGTGCCGTGGCTTCCTGCTGCAGCTTCAGGAGGTACTTGGGACCTGAATAAACCAAAACACATCACTGAGGACACTATCAAACAAAATCAGAATTCTCATTTGTATTTCACAAATCATTACTTCTTTCATAAAAGACAAATTTGGAAGGACACCATCATACTAAAGAATTATAAAAATTATTATTTCTATCACAAGGATCGAGTCCATGAAAGAAATGACATCACACAATGGCTGCAACAGTGGTAGCATCATGTGTAAATGAAACAGATGAGCATCTCACGCTGCGCTTGTAATGCACAAGTCAGTGTGGTCTGTGTGACATTAAGCTGTGTCACAGCAATGTTCCTTCAATCACTATGTTGGAAATCAATCCTCTGTCACTGTCAGGAAATGTTTACACCACCAGGCTATGGTGCTGATAATTGTCCCGAAGATTCACTTTGATAATCATTGAGTCTTTTGTCCTCATGAAACTTTTCAGCATAATCCATCTGAAGTGACCAAATGGTCATCCGGGCCCTTTCCCCTGACATTATACTCAATGACATTAGATTATTCAATCAGTAGCTCCACCCATACTGGGCTGCCTAGGAGATGGAAAGACTGGAAATGTTTGTTGAATCTCTGACAGGATTTATGAGCGGACTCACCCAGGGGCAGCATGAGCTGACACACCGCCTCCATGAGGTCAAGCTGGCCCACGGTGTGCAGTGTGGACACTCCATGTAGCAGGTGGTTGATGGCGGAGGCGGTTTCACCCAGCAGCACGGCCAGCAAGGACAATGTCAGGTCCATACACACTTGGAACATCAACTGAAACAATCACATTGCATGGGTATTGATAGTCTGTGGAGAAATGAAGTCATGGCTGTGCAGAGCAATATCCCTGTGACCCTAACAGACTTTATTAGCAAATCTCTGCAAAACATGTGAATGATACAAGACTTTTTGCAGGCAGTTTCCATTAAGCAACATGTCAACATTCTGATTTAAATTAGGTGGTGAGGTGAGGTGAAATTGGGTTTAACGTCACGTTCAAGATGATTGAACTTATACAGTGATGTGCATGTACGTGCGTGTGCGTGCTAGTCCTGACTAATTCCCATTTTATTGTGCTAGCTGACTGAGACACCACCACCAGACCACAGAGACGGTCCCTGACTCAGATTAAGTACTCATTAAAGCCAGGACTGCATGTGAAATCTTGCAGCGTGAAAGGACAAATCAACAAACGCATTCATCATGGACTGTGGTCATCACTGAGAAATAGCTCTTCTGTTATTACATGTGATTCATGACAAAATATCAACAATATCTATTTGGAAGAAAAAGTGAGGAAACATTTGCTCACAGGACAACAAGTGTGTGTTACATGATCCTGCTGTCAGCAATATTACAATGACAAAGTCTATGGCAACCTGAGCATTGACGGATGAACAATTTTAAGTGCCTGCAATGAGTCATACATTTGTTTGATGTTTTGTTTTGTTTGTTGTTTAACGCCATACTCAGCAATATTGCAGCTACTGACAGCGGTCTGTTAATAAGCAAGTCTGGTCCAGACAATCCAGAGGTTGATATCATGAGAATCAATCCACACAATTGGGATACGATGACATGCATCAACAAAGTCAGCGAGCCTGACCACCCGATTTCGTTAGTTGCCTTTTATGACAAGAATGGGTCGCTGAAGACCAATTCTAACCCAGATGGTTTATGTTGACAAATTAACATTTTAGAATTCTGTGCTACCTTAAAATTAAATATATTGAAGAGTAGATCTTGTTCAGATGCAGGACTTAGCGATCTTACATACATTAGTTCTCCAGGAATGTCTACTTAATGAGTCCAGCAACGTATTTTTGAAATGTAACAACTTTGGTGTCTTTTCTCGTGCTGAGTCCGTTCTGCTGCTGATGTTGTGCATGGGGCGACACGTGATCATCTTAACTGTAATCCCACCCACAAATCTGCATGTTTAGAGATAGTTGTGGGTTCAGATTGTCCGAAATTAGAGACAGACTTTTTTCAACAGAAGTAACAAACACTCTTCTCTTGTGTGTTGCCTCCAAAGTTACACAGTTATTATCATGTTCAAGTTATGTTTGGTCAGCTCAAAAAGGATCAAGCTTTTTTGGTCAAAATGTTTTCTAAGACTGAAACTATCATTCAATCAGGATTGGCATGGGACCTTAACTGATAGCACAAAATCATGACTACTTTTGAATATATCAAACTTCAATTCTAAAATTTAGATGCAGTTCCCATCGCCTTTGAATTGAATCAGCAAAGTTTAAAGCGAGGAGATGAAATTTGTGTTATTTGTAAAGAGAACTATATAGAAGACGAAGATCATTTTATTTTGAAGTGTAAAACATATGATGTTAGAGCAAAATTTATAGCACCAACATATTTTACTTATGCCACCAGACACAAGTTTAATGTTGTAATCTCCTTCACTTACAAATACACTGTGAATAACCTATTGATGTACATATATAAAGCAATGTGAATGAGAAACAAACTGGCACCCTGAGTCTCTGACTCCCTGTATTGCCATTTATCATGGGCCTATGGCCAACAATATTGAATGAATAAAGCCAACTGACTGATTCAGAGTCAGATAAACAAGGGGTTGCAATGAATCATACGGGAGGGTTATGTTGACAAATTAACATGTAAACCATGGCTTCTTTGTCTTTGACCATGCAATAACTTTTAAAAGTGTGATGTAGCACTTTCTGATGATGCATCTGTAACAGTGAGTGAGTGAGTGAGTGAGTGAGTGAGTGAATGCTTGAGTGAGTATGTGAGTGAGTGAGTGAGTGAGAGTGAATGCTTGCATGAGTGTGTGTGTGAGTGGTTGAGTGAGTGAGTGAGTGAGTGAATACTTGCATAAGTGTGTTCTACTAGAATGAAAAACAAGTTCAGTTTGAGTACACAGTTCATACAGAAGCCACCAGCCTTGATCCCCTGACCCAACAAGCTGACCAGCATGAAGATGCAAGACATCAATCTCCATACACTGACAACAAGAATTACCAGTTTCAATCAAAGCCTGACACTGTCACAGTTACTGCCTAGGGGCTGAAAACCTAGCAGGAACACTTGTCTGTTATCTGCAATTACAACCCTGTAGTGCCACCATGTTCAAACATGGACAGGTCAAAAGTGCTGACGTGGATGGAATTGATCGCTCCTCTCCCAGGCAGTGTAATTGTAACTTGGAACGATGGGTCTTTGTATGGCTTGGCCTTTGTTTAGCCAAGTGAAGAGATGTTGCCAGTTTCCAGGATTGTGGCATATCCTGGAATGTCTAGCTGGCATCAGGGGTAAAACAACACACTTGCAGATTGTTTTGACAGATTTACTTCACCATTGGTGGTTGTGTTTCAAGAGGGTAAAGGTTTCAGCATCATGATTGGATAGTCAATGACGAAGTTGCTTGGTTGTTAGTTTTTTAACGCCGCACTCAGCAATATTCAAGACATATGATGACGGTCTGTATATAATTAAGTCTGGACCAGACAATCCAGTGATAGACATCATGAACATCGATCCACACAATTGGTATTCGATGACATGCATCAACCAAGTCAGCGAGCCTGACCACGTACTCCCAAAAGTGGCCTCTTACAACATGCACAGTGGCCTCTTACGACATATATGGGATGCTGAAGACCAATTCTAACCCAGATCATCATGGGTTGACAAGCTGTGTCAGGCACCTTTTCCACAAAGCCATCTTAGTGCTACCGCTGTCATGAGTCAGTGTTGGAGTAGGGGTCCGGATCATCACGGGTTGACAAGCTGTGTGAGGCACCATTCCACAAAGCCATCTTAGTGCTACCGCTGTCATGAGTCAGTGTTGGAGTAGGGGTCCGGATCATCACGGGTTGACAAGCTGTGTGAGGCACCATTCCACAAAGCCATCTTAGTGCTACCGCTGTCATGAGTCAGTGTTGGAGTAGGGGTCCGGATCATCACGGGTTGACAAGCTGTGTCAGGCACCATTCCACAAAGCCATCTTAGTGCTACCGCTGTCATGAGTCAGTGTTGGAGTAGGGGTCCGGATCATCATGGGTTGACAAGCTGTGTGAGGCACCATTCCACAAAGCCATCTTAGTGCTACCGCTGTCATGAGTCAGTGTTGGAGTAGGGGTCCGGATCATCACGGGTTGACAAGCTGTGTGAGGCACCATTCCACAAAGCCATCTTAGTGCTACCGCTGTCATGAGTCAGTGTTGGAGTAGGGGTCCAGATCATCACGGGTTGACAAGCTGTGTGAGGCACCATTCCACAAAGCCATCTTAGTGTTACCGCTGTCATGAGTCAGTGTTGGAGTAGGGGTCCGGATCATCACGGGTTGCTGAAGACAAATTCTAACCTGAATCTTCAGGGGTCTGAAGTTGTTGGTAATAGCTAAATTGTATTATGTCCTCCAATCTCATATGTGGGATGTTATGTTTTGTCATTGATGGTGTTTGTGTTGTGGAAACTGGAAACATTTGTGCTTTATTTTGTTTTGATGGTTGGTACAGTTTTTTGACACCTATTTCATCCTGACAGCTAAAACATTGATGAGAAATGGAAAACCTCAGGATCACATGTTTGATTTACACAAATCTACTTTGAAGGTCAAATCTGAACAAACCGACCATCTAAATGTTACCTGATTTGAGAAACATTTCCATGTTGAAACAGTCTCTGAGTGAGTGAGTTAGGTTAACCGCCACTTTGAACAGTATTCCAGTTATATCACAGCATGTCTGCTGAATATGAGTGAGTGAGTTAGGTTAAACGCCACTTTGAACAGTATTCCTGTTATATCACAGCGTGTCTGCTGAATGTGAGTGAGTGAGTTAGGTTAAACGCCACTTTGAACAGTATTCCTGTTATATCACAGAGTGTCTGCTGAATGTGAGTGAGTGAGTTAGGTTAAACGCCACTTTGAACAGTATTCCTGTTATATTACAGCGTGTCTGCTGAACGTGAGGGAGTGAGTTAGGTTAAACGCCACTTTGAACAGTATTCCTGTTATATCACAGCGTGTCTGCTGAATGTGAGGGAGTGAGTTAGGTTAAACGCCACTTTGAACAGTATTCCTGTTATATCACAGCGTGTCTGTTGAATGTGAGGGAGTGAGTTAGGTTAAACGCCACTTTGAACAGTATTCCAGTTATATCACAGCGTGTCTGCTGAACGTGAGGGAGTGAGTTAGGTTAAACGCCACTTTGAACAGTATTCCTGTTATATCACAGCGTGTCTGTTGAATGTGAGGGAGTGAGTTAGGTTAAACGCCACTTTGAACAGTATTCCAGTTATATCACAGCGTGTCTGTTGAACGTGAGGGAGTGAGTAAGGTTAAACGCCACTTTGAACAGTATTCCAGTTATATCACAGCGTGTCTGTTGAACGTGAGGGAGTGAGTAAGGTTAAACGCCACTTTGAACAGTATTCCAGTTATATCACAGCGTGTCTGTTGAACGTGAGTGAGTGAGTTAGGTTAAACGCCACTTTGAACAGTATTCCAGTTATATCACAGCGTGTCTGCTGAATGTGAGGGAGTGAGTTAGGTTAAACGCCACTTTGAACAGTATTCCAGTTATATCACAGCGTGTCTGTTGAACGTGAGGGAGTGAGTAAGGTTAAACGCCACTTTGAACAGTATTCCTGTTATATCACAGCATGTCTGCTGAATGTGAGTGAGTTAGTTAGGTTAAACGCCACTTTGAACAGTATTCCTGTTATATCACAGCGTGTCTGTTGAACGTGAGGGAAGAAACTGATCTGATGCCATTGTGATAAACCCACAAGTGCGGTCCTCACAAACGTATTGAAGTCTGTAAAAGTTTCTCATAAAAAATTGTGTCTCACACAGATCTCATCAGTCATGGGAAAATCTGACTTTTCACATTTTCTGAGTCTTCTATGATGTAGGCTCTCTAGAGTCAGATGACACAACAAAACAGCCAGTCAGTGGCGGACTACCATCTCGGCAAAACCGAAATTGCCTACACATGGTCTTTCAAGGTAATATTTTTTTAAGCACAAAAATGATTGCCTTTCACTGACATCAATCAGTCCACCAACAGGAGTAATTCAAGCTACTGTAGTCTATGAGACATCACGTTTGTGCTACGGCTATCATAAATCTATGTCACAGTATATGAGTTATGGTAGTAGTACTGGTATACTTCGTGAAATGGGGTCAGCCACATTACATTGTCATAATCTTACCAAAAGCAGTCAGATGTCCCACACAGTGACAAAAATGAAACAGAATAGACACATGTTCACTCTGCTGAAAAACAGTTGACTGTCTACACTGGGTAATACTTATTTCCATACTCAGATTCACATTGCAACAGAATTTTTTGGATACACTGAAACACACAGATAGGAGAAAAGAATGTCTCCAAATTGCAGGAAAAAGCGTTAAAGATCATCCAAATTCAAATTGTCTTTGGCGTAGGGGTGGGGGCACCCTGGCTAAACTATTTCCAAGTTAATATTTCCCATGTTGCCTGCATGTGTAAAAGAACCCATCTATGCCCCTGCCAGCTTCAATAACAGGGTCAGACCAGGGGGGAAGGAGTGAGTGAACCCATCTATGCCCCTGCCAGCTTCAATAACAGGCTCAGACCAGGGGGAAGGAGTGAGTGAACCCATCTATGCCCCTGCCAGCTTCAATAACAGACTCAGACCAGGGGGGAAGGAGTGAGTGAACCCATCTATGCCCCTGCCAGCTTCAATAACAGGGTCAGATCAGGGGGAAGGAGTGAGTGAACCCATCTATGCCCCTGCCAGCTTCAGTAACAGGGTCAGACCAGGGGGAAGGAGTGAGTGAACCCATCTATGCCCCTGCCAGCTTCAATAACAGGCTCAGACCAGGGGGAAGGAGTGAGTGAACCCATCTATGCCCCTGCCAGCTTCAATAACAGGCTCAGACCAGGGGGAAGGAGTGAGTGAACCCATCTATGCCCCTGCCAGCTTCAATAACAGGGTCAGACCAGGGGGAAGGAGTGAGTGAACCCATCTATGCCCCTGCCAGCTTCAGTAACAGGGTCAGACCAGGGGGAAGGAGTGAGTGAACCCATCTATGCCCCTGCCAGCTTCAATAACAGGCTCAGACCAGGGGGAAGGAGTGAGTGAACCCATCTATGCCCCTGCCAGCTTCAATAACAGGGTCAGACCAGGGGGAAGGAGTGAGTGAACCCATCTATGCCCCTGCCAGCTTCAGTAACAGGGTCAGACCAGGGGGAAGGATCGAGTGAGTGAACCCATCTATGCCCCTGCCAGCTTCAATAACAGGGTCAGACCAGGGGGAAGGAGTGAGTGAACCCATCTATGCCCCTGCCAGCTTCAGTAACAGGGTCAGACCAGGGGGAAGGAGTGAGTGAACCCATCTATGCCCCTGCCAGCTTCAGTAACAGGGTCAGACCAGGGGGAAGGAGTGAGTGAACCCATCTATGCCCCTGCCAGCTTCAGTAACAGGGTCAGACCAGGGAGAAGGAGTGAGTGAACTTCATCACCACTGTGACTGATGACTGCATCCATTAGATGAGATCCAGGTCACTGGGTCATGATGACCCTCAATTATGGTAGCCAGATTACAGAGCCTGACTGAAGTCAGCTTATTCTTCAACAGCACCCTCCTGATTGAGAATCAATCCTCCAACCTAAAATTGTAACAAGTAATCCTCATTGGTCATCTCTTACGTTAAGCATAGGAGTGAACATTTCTTCCCAGAGAAGTGGTTGTATATTTTTGACCTTTGTATGAGTAGACAGGACCTCCTACCTGCTGGGGGTCGATGTGACTCTGTCTCCCAGACTGAAGCTGCTGGAGAGTCCTGTACGTCAGAGTGAGGCTCTCAGAGTCCATGCCAATGTCAAGGTTACCAGACCAGACCTTCAGTACATGGTGTGGGAAGGAGTGCTCTCCAATCATGTAGGGTTTCCATGGCAACACAGGATCACATTCAGTTACATCAAGGATGAAATCTGAAGTTGAATGAAACCATATCAAGCAACCACAAATGTTGACAATACAGCTTTTTGAAAAATGATTTTGTAGTCTCTTCTTTAAAATTCCTTCATACAGGAAAGTATGGAAGGTAGCTTTTAACTACTGGAAATAAAAATGGTGTGTTACCCGTAGTACACGGATGATACACCAATGCATTGGTGGATTGCGATTTTTTACTTCTCGATACAAGTATCGATCACAATCGCACACTAAGTAAAATGTTTTGATTCTTTCCTTAAATGTTTGCTGTAATAACTGTTACCCCGTACATCAAACACTTGTCATTTGTGAAAATTCGTAGTAAACAAGTAAACATTTTCATCCATTACCCCACACTTGAAACTGATAACTGTAAGTCGTCAGTGTGCCAAGTATTTGACAATCCTGTCTATGAGAAAGTGGCTTACGGACCACAGATACGAGCTGATGCAAGTATCGTGATACATATTGGATCGCACACTTGGTGTATCGTCCCAGCCCTAGTTGCACCATACTCAGCTCCAACCCTATCACAGCAAGCAGTACTTGAGCCAGGATCACACAAACCAGTGAGTGATAGAGTGAACAACAACACACGAAAAAGAGTGAGTGAGTAAGCGAGTTGGGTTTAACACCATTTTTAACAGTATTTCAGTCATAACACACTGTGTCAGCTGTGGAAGGAAAGCTCGGAGTGATGCAGGTCTTTGACGTTGACCACGACACTGAAGTTCAGTCACACAGGGTCAGGTCACAGGTTGAGGTTGAGATAGCCTTTCATCTCATGATACATTGTACAAGTTTTGCTTGACTGTTTGTTTGTTGTTTAACTCTCAGCAATGTTCTAGCTATATGTAAATAATTGAGTCTGGACCTGACAATCCAGTGATTGACATCATGAGCATCGATCTATGCAATAGGGATACAATGACATGCATCCAGCAAGCCAGTGAGCCTGACCACCCGATCCCGTAAGTCGCCTCTCACAACAAGCATAGTGGTTTCTTGCAGCAAGCATGGGTTGCTGAAGACCTATTCTAACCCGGATCTTCACGGGCCATTGTACAAGTGCCTGTTCAGATACTACTGGCCATACACATCCCTAACCAGTTAATATAGGGCATACAATAAACAAGTCTGTGGTCTTACTAGTCATACTTCAAGGTAGACTTCTAGATGTCACGTGGGCACATAGTGTGTGTGAATACCTCACCTGGAATGAATGCCTTCCCGGTCTGCGCCTCCCCCCACTCTGTGAAGCAGGCGGGGTCAACCTCCCTCAGTGTCCCCGGGGTGAGGGACTGTAGTTCCCGCAGTAGCAGCTCGTGCATGCTGACAAACGGCAGCAACATCTGCAGCAGAACACAGAAGCAAACAGGTTTTATTGCCAGCAACTAATTATTACAGGTACATTAATAGTCTTTATACACACAGCCTTCGTTCCACAAAGTGATCGTAGCACCAAGTTGAACACAAATCCCATACTTTAACATAAACTTACGATAATCGTAGTGCTATGATCGCTTTGTGGAACGGGGCCCCCATGTATTTAACCACGAACAGCACATGTTTGTTGACAGTCATGCACCTTCAAACCAGCCAGAGAACAGAACTCTCCCATAACAGACACCTCCTCCAACTTGCTGGCCTAGCCACTCACATCAAGCAGTGTTAACACCATTCCTAATGCTAATAGACAAAACACATAAGCAAACAGCCGACTAGGGGGTTGATAAACATTTGTTAAACTGTGAAATTGCCAATCAGACCCTTTTTGAAACCAGAAGTTCTTCTAGACAATTAATGTCTGGAATGTCTATGCTGTATTTGCCATTCTAAGTGGCCTGGTTTCTCAGAAAATTGACACTGTTAATGATATCAATCACTGGAATTTCTGGTCCAGACTCGAGTATTTACAGACCGCTGTCATATGGCTGAAATATTGCTGAGTGCAGCATTAAACAACAAACAAACAAACAGAAAAATGACAAAGAGGGCGAGATTCTTAAAACCCTATTTTTTGTCAGAGATTTTGAGGTTGAGAATAAACTTGGTTCAAATGTTGATGAGACTAAAACGTTTTTGATAATATTCACTTGGAAATTATATACATCTTGTACACTGGTGTGTTTCTGTGAAGATATTTTAATAACTGTATGGAACTGTATAGGGTGCTTACAAAGATTATTTAGTTGATCAGGGGGTGCTTCTTGGAGTGGGGCACTTAATACAGTGAATATGGTAAGCAGACAAAGGAACATTACTGTCTACCATGTTGGACATTAAGGGGTCACAGGGTCTTTAGTGTTTGCTGCTACAGCATGTGAATCTGGGGACCCCTTCAGTAGTCTACCCCTTAATCTGAAACATTTACACTGGGGTCATGACAAAGATTCTTAGTTTTTAAAGCTTAATATCAAACACAGAGTAAACCAATGATAGATTTGTTCATCGGGATGATTTCACTTGTAACAGTCTATATTATTTGGACTTCACTTCTTAAATGATTAAAACCACATGCCCACCTAGAACACAGAACAAACTCTCAGAACATCTAAAAAACAAACAATTCAAGGTCAATGTACATAGTGTTCCTAGAAACCTCCAAGGCTTCACCACACAAATCTGACACTCAGAAGAAGTACAAATGTGAGGCCACATAAGAGCTCCTCCATTAACAGAGATCAGGGCCATATCCCTTCTCAACATAACATGAAACAACAGAGAGTGATATCCTATCGTATCTGTACCGCTTGGCCAGACATCCTCATACCTATATATACAACTGCTGCTGGCTTCAATCACGCCTATCACTCATCCAATCCTAATGTTGTTATTGTTAACTCCTTTCATCCCTGCTCATGTAGTGTTTGTTGATCTCCATATGTCTAAACAATCTCAGGCTCTTATTCTACTTTGACAAAAGTATAAGGATATACTGGAATATGGAAACATCTCAATGCAAATGAAATTGAGTTACTATGAGAAAAACTTGTTTGTCTTTGCATATGATTCATGAGATATTTATACCAATGAATTACCCACATGAATAATTTGAAAATAATAATAACTGGATATAATTTATTACTAGTCTTACAATATATGTTGATGAGGTCAGTGAGATGTATTTGGATGCTGGTAAGTGGTTGCATAGATTTTACTGTCAATTTGGAAAATAAAGCCATTCAGCAGGTCAGTATCAATCATGATTGTAGCTCTAACTTCCATTTACTATCTTGACAGATGAATGATAATTCTATTCAATCTTCACACTTCTGCTGTCACTGATAATAATCAATTGAGAAAGCTGCATCCTGACCGAGGATGGAGACATGCTGGTGGTGCTGTACCAACCTTCAGTGTTTCATGTTCCTTGAGGAATTTGTAGCCCTGTTTCCAGTCATCCTTGGCAATGAACTGATGAACCAATCTATGAGCATACAGAAATCCCTGAGGCTTTTCATTGGCTAACAAAGTCATGTGGGTAGCCGTTTTGAGGGACGATTGGTCGGTTCTCTTCGTCAACAGATTGGCAGCATCCTGGATCTGCTTCATAGCCAGGTAACTGAAACCAAACATGCCTCTAAATGCCATCAAACAAATATGAAATAATGAATTCTAGGAGGTTCTACACCTTGTAAGCAACGTAGTCGAGTTTGAAGACTCATGATGTTGAGTGTTTGTATTCTGTCCAATTGTCATTACTCCCACAACGTGCATGTGCAATCAAGTCTTGTTAATCCGACACTTGTTAATTTGACAATCGGCTTGATCCGACAATAATGATGGGAACCGATTAAATCAGTGCTATTCAGACCCGTTAATCTCGCACTCCGACATACTACTTTGTAACGAATTACCAGAATCACTCATTAATCAGTCTCGTTAATCCCACACAATGATCAGCGTACTCCGTGGTCATCTGCCCGCGAGTACACAGCCCATGTTTTGATGCAAGACGAGCCGGCTGGCAGCTGCATATTACAACGGCTGCAGAGATAAACTTGCTTAACAATAAACAATTAATGCTTTAAATAAAAAAAACAGGATTATTCACATGCTTAGATTACCTCAATCTCATTAAAATCAGATACAAGTTCTCGCTATCGCCGAGAACATCCCATAACAGGTCACAACAGAACAACCTTCGCGAACTATGACTGACCAATGAAATGGCTAACAGTGAGTCAACGTTAGCCACTTAGAAAGAAGCTTTCTTAAGCTTTGTGGTACTAGTTTCGAACATGCGACTTCCATTCCAGAATATGCTTTTTAAAGTATTTTGAATAAGTTATACAGTCCGTAACAGTTGTTTTGTGTTGAGCTTTAGATGCTGCATGATTAGAAAACATATTACGCTAACAATGTAAATTAACAATTTGAATATTTCATTTATATTTTTATATTACGTGTTTGTATTGTTATCTATCGTGTAGTTGTCCGATTATTGATCACAAACGGTGATACTTCTTAATTTTCTTTATCCGACATACTTGTTAATCCGACATAATCATATGCAACCAACCATGTCGGATAGACAGGACTTGATTGTATCTGGTATACAAGGGGCTGCCCCAGAATCTCCCCAAGGTATCACACAGAGGGAACAGATCTGGATACTTATGAAAATGGAGACTGTAAGCATGACCATGTTGAAGATTTAATGAAAAAACTAGACTACTTTGCCAGATCCCTTCAAGTCCTTTGATAGTACTTCAATGCTCACCACTTGGCGGCCTGCTCGTAGTTGCCATCTTTCATTAACATCTGCGCCCACTCCATATACAGGTCCTCCAGCACTGGGTCAAGGGGAGACAACCTCATCCGCGCAAGTGCCACAGCCTCCCTGTTGAAGTTGAAGTTGACATGACACAATCTTATGAGACACATTAGCTATTACTTAACATATCAACACATTAACATTTACAAATATCATATGATTAATATTCACTATTAAAACATCTCTCATCAGACATTGAATGAGTGAGATATTATATCATAATTTAAGGAAGCCATCTTGATTATCACACAATATCTAAGGAAGCCATCTTGATTATCACACAATATCTAAGGAAGCCATCTTGATTATCACACAATATCTGAGGAAGCCATCTTGATTATCACACAATATCTAAGGAAGCCATCTTGATTATCACACAATATCTGAGGAAGCCATCTTGATTATCACAAAATATCTGAGGAAGCCATCTTGATTATCACAAAATATCTGAGGAAGCCTTCTTGATTATCACAAAATATCTGAGGAAGCCATCTTGTTTATCACAAAATATCTGAGGAAGCCATCTTGATTATCATACAATGTCTAAGGAAGTAATCTTGATTATCACACATTATATAAGGAAGCCATCTTGATTACCATATCATAACCTAAGGTTTTTTGTTTGTTGTTTAATGCCATACTTAGCAATATTTCAGCTATATAACGGCGGTCATAAATAATCAAGTCTGGACAAGACAATCCAGAGATCGATTCAGTTTAAAATCATTCACGCATTCATGAACCAAACATTAACACTGTTCACCTCCAAGAACAAAGTTACTTATCAAACAATTATTTCTCAGATGGCCTCTCATCCAAACAATGTCCATACTCTGCATTCATTGTGACCATCCAATCCACACCTAGCAAGTCAGGTCCTCAGACAAAATGTAAGAGGCATCTTCTCCTGGAGCTCCATGAAGGGTCACCATCCAATCCACACCTGGCTGTCTAGATCTTCAGACAATATATAAGAGGGGACATCTTCTCCTGGAGCTCACACCTGGCTGCCAAAGTCTTCGGACGAAATGCATCTACCCCTGAAGCTCCATGGAGGTTCAACATCCAATCCACACCTGGCTGCCCAAGTCTTCGGACGAAAATGCATCTACCCCTGAAGCTCCATACTGGGTCGACATCCAATCCACACCTGGCTGCCCAAGTCTTCGGGTGAAATGCATCTACCCCTGAAGCTCCATGGAGGGTCGACATCCAATCCACACCTGACTGCCCAAGTCTTCGGACGAAATGCATCTACCCCTGAAGCTCCATGGAGGGTCAACATCCAATCCACACCTGGCTGCCCAAGTCTTGGGGCGAAATGCATCTACCCCTGAAGCTCCATTGAGGGTCGACATCCAATCCACACCTGGCTGCCCAAGTCTTCGGGTGAAATGCATCTACCCCTGAAGCTCCATTGAGGGTCGACATACAATCCACACCTGGCTGCCCAAGTCTTCGGGCAAAATGCATCTACCCCTGAAGCTCCATGGAGGGTCGACATCCAATCCACACCTGGCTGCCCAAGTCTTCGGGCGAAATGCATCTACCCCTGAAGCTCCATGGAGGTTCAACATCCAATCCACACCTGGCTGCCCAAGTCTTCGGGTGAAATGCATCTACCCCTGAAGCTCCATGGAGGGTCGACATCCAATCCACACCTGGCTGCCCAAGTCTTCGGGCGAAATGCATCTACCCCTGAAGCTCAATGGAGGGTCGACATCCAATCCACACCTGGCTGCCCAAGACTTCGGGCGAAATGCATCTACCCCTGAAGCTCCATGGAGGGTCGACATCCAATCCACACCTGGCTGCCCAAGTCTTCGGGCTAAATGCATCTACCCCTGAAGCTCCATGGAGGGTCGACATCCAATCCACACCTGGCTGCCCAAGACTTCGGGCTAAATGCATCTACCCCTGAAGCTCCATGGAGGGTCGACATCCAATCCACACCTGGCTGCCCAAGTCTTCGGGCTAAATGCATCTACCCCTGAAGCTCCATGGAGGGTCGACATCCAATCCACACCTGGCTGCCCAAGTCTTCGGGCCAAATGCATCTACCCCTGAAGCTCCATGGAGGTTCATCAAAGAAAACTGGGTCCTAAGATATACTAGAAATTGTTGACTTTGAAGCAATTGTTTTTCAAATAACACCAGGCAGCCTGTAGTGACTGAGGCAGGGGCCAATGGCAGTCTCAGTGCACTGGTGGGTGTATTAACCTACTTTGTGTTGTTTTTGTTATGAAAGTGAAACACATCACTGCAGGTTATTGGGACAAGGTCCATATAGCAAGCCAATCCCAGAATCTGTCCTTGAGAAAAGATCAGAAGGATTGCTCACAAACATTAAAGTATTGTGCCCACAATCAAACAGGATATTATGTTTGAAACAACACTAATCGCAATGCCAATGTTGATATATATGACTGATCATGAGAATGAAAGTTTGAATAAAGAATGAATAAAAGGACAAATTCATGAAGGAAGGTATAAGTATGTCAGTGTGTGACTGCTGTTCAATGTAGCAGGCATTAATAGTCCAACTAAATCCCAGAAGACTGTGAAGCAGTAAGCCAGGGCCATGTAAAACCAGTGGATGATAGCATGATCAGCCATCCACATTGTCTGGGTTCCATGACACAGACAGCCGGGTCATACAATGTGGCCATGTGATCCACAGTGTAGTCAGAGTGTAGTGGGAGTGAGTGAGTATGAGTTTAAGCCGCTTTTGGCAATATTCCAGCAATATCATGGCAGGGAACACCAGAAATGGGCTTCACACATTGTACCGATGTCGGGAATCAAACCCGGGTCTTCGACGTGACGAGCGAACGCTTTAATCACTAGGCTACCTGACCGCCCTGAGAAGCATGTGAACATAAGGCTGTAATCTATCCTGCAAGCCACACAAAGGATTCAACCAATGTTTGTTGTTTAACTCCACACTCAGCAATATTCCATCTGTATGACGGCAGGCTGTAAATAATCAAGTCTAGACCAGAAAATCCAGTGATTGACATCATAAGCATTGAACTATCCAAATGGGATACGATGACTGTTCAACCAAGTCAGCAAGACTGACCACCCGATCCTGTTAGTTGCCTTTTACGACAAGCGTGGGTCACTGAAGACCTATTCTCTACCCTAATTTTCACAGGTTAAAAAAACAAATAAAATATGTAAAATTATCCCTCTTCATTAAGTGGCTCTAGTTAGGGGCCATTTGCCTATTGTTGGCACAGGGGCTGGCTATGTAGGATTATCTGGCCTAAGTAGGCCACTCAATGCCCCACATACTGGGTGACCAGATTAGCTCTGTTTACACAGACAGATAACACCTTGTCCATCAAAGTGATTAGACAAGCCTGGCTTTCCACACAACACAATACTGCAATATGATAACACAGATTCGCGTATGGTGGAAGTAGATTAGCCAGATACAGCAGGACTGGCACTAAAATCAATTTCAAGTAATGTTTGCTCTTTCCAAAATGAAAGCAAAACAAGAATCACGACAAAAGCATCAAAGGTGTAGTGACATGGATGATACACTGGACATGTAAGCATAAGCATGTCCTGTGGGCATGCTGAAGGGCAATATCAAGGAACTGTACGTCAAAAGGCATTTCATGAGCATAAATGTCAGTGATCAAATACAGGATGGTGTGCGTGTGTGTGTGAGCGTTTGTGTGAGTGAGTGAGTGAGTGAGTGAGTGAGAGAGAGAGAGAGAGACAGAGACAGAGAGAGAGAGAGAGAGACAGAGACAGAGACAGAATGTCTGGGTGTGTCTGTGTCTGTGTGTGTGGGAGTAAGTGAGTTCAATGTCCTTTGGACTTTTTATCAGTAGTATCATGGCATGTCAGCTTCATTTGGGAAGACATAAGTGATGCAGGTCTGACACATTTAACACATTAGTGAAGCTCATGGCATGGCTATGGTGGATGGCAACCATGGATCATAATGTGGAGAACAGGTATTTGAACCACTGATCTCTTAGGTGACATAATGATGGAAAATGTTAGTACCAATCTGTGTTTGGAGACCAGGGCAATTTCAGCGCTCCTGTGTCCAATCATAGCTAACAGCAACTAAATAGGGTAAAAATTCACACAGGTACAAGCCAGCCAAGTGAGCCTGACTGGTCGCTCTTCCAACAATCCTCAAGTCTCTTTGTTCCTGACACTAGTATTACTATCAGTCAATTCTAACACAGTCCACTCACATATTCCACAACAGATACCAAAGATCCAGGCATACCAGTTTAGAAATGTCAATTTATGGATCGGAAATCCTCCAATGAAGGAGATCTTTGTACAAAAGAAGCAGCACTAAGAAATGTAAACTTTGCACACATATTTCAGCTTTGATCCCAATGAGAAAATTCTTATTGTTGGCCTGAACTATATGACCGAGATTAGCAATCATCTCTCAAAATAAACTACAACACTTGTGTATGATTACTGGCTACACTTATCCTAGTCTAGTCCTAGATATCTGTTACAGCTGTATGTGTGATTGTCTTACTTGAATAGTCTGTGCCGCTTGAAGAGGTCGATGGCTTCATACACCTTGTGACAGGCCAGCAGGTAGGAGGTGGCCTTGTGGTACTGACCGTCCCCCTCCAGCTGCCGGGCGTACTCCTCACACATCCCCAGCCACGTGTCGTAGGAAGCTGCAACAAACAAGCCCTTGTCTACATCTCCCACCTATACAATATAGAAGTATAGCTGAAATGAACAAGCCCTTGTCTATATCTCCCACCTATACAATATAGAAGTATAGCTGAAATGAACAAGCCCTTGTCTATATCTCCCACCTATACAATATAGAAGTATAGCTGAAATGAACAAGCCCTTGTCTATATCTCCCACCTATACAATATAGAAGTATAGCTGAAATGAACAAGCCCTTGTCTATATCTCCCACCTATACAATATAGAAGTATAGCTGAAATAAACAAGCCCTTGTCTACATCTCCCACCTATACAATATAGAAGTATAGCTGAAATGAACAAGCCCTTGTCTATATCTCCCACCTATACAATATAGAAGTATAGCTGAAATGAACAAGCCCTTGTCTATATCTCCCACCTATACAATATAGAAGTATAGCTGAAATGAACAAGCCCTTGTCTATATCTCCCACCTATACAATATAGAAGTATAGCTGAAATGAACAAGCCCTTGTCTACATCTCCCACCTATACAATATAGAAGTATAGCTGAAATAAACAAGCCCTTGTCTATATATCTCACCTATACAATATAGAAGTATAGCTGAAATGAACAAGCCCTTGTCTATATCTCCCACCTATACAATATAGAAGTATAGCTGAAATAAACAAGCCCTTGTCTACATCTCCCACCTATACAATATAGAAGTATAGCTGAAATGAACAAGCCCTTGTCTATATCTCCCACCTATACAATATAGAAGTATAGCTGAAATGAACAAGCCCTTGTCCATATCTCCCACCTATACAATATAGAAGTATAGCTGAAATAAACAAGCCCTTGTCTATATATCTCACCTATACAATATAGAAGTATAGCTGAAATGAACAAGCCCTTGTCCATATCTCCCACCTATACAATATAGAAGTATAGCTGAAATAAACAAGCCCTTGTCTATATATCTCACCTATACAATATAGAAGTATAGCTGAAATGAACAAGCCCTTGTCTATATCTCCCACCTATACAATATAAAAGTATAGCTGAAATAAACAAGCCATTGTCTATATATCTCACCTATACAATATAGAAGTATATATAGCTGAAATAAAGAAGCCATTGTCTATATATCTCACCTATACAATATAGAAGTATAGCTGAAATAAAGAAGCCCTTGTCTACATCTCTCACCTATACAATATAGAAGTATAGCTGAAATAAACACGCCCTTGTCTACATCTCCCACCTATACAATATAGAAGTATAGCTGAAATAAACAAGCCCTTGTCTATATATCTCACCTATACAATATAGAAGTATAGCTGAAATAAACAAGCCCTTGTCTATATATCTCACCTATACAATATAGAAGTATAGCTGAAATAAACAAGCCCTTGTCTATATATCTCACCTATACAATATAGAAGTATAGCTGAAATAAACAAGCCCTTGCCTATATATCTCACCTATACAATATAGAAGTATAGCTGAAATAAACACGCCCTTGTCTACATCTCCCACCTATACAATATAGAAGTATAGCTGAAATAAACAAGCCCTTGTCTATATATCTCACCTATACAATATAGAAGTATAGCTGAAATAAACACGCCCTTGTCTACATCTCCCACCTATAAAATATAGAAGTATAGCTGAAATAAACAAGCCATTGTCTATATATCTCACCTATACAATATAGAAGTATAGCTGAAATAAACAAGCCCTTGTCTATATATCTCACCTATACAATATAGAAGTATAGCTGAAATAAACAAGCCCTTGTCTACATCTCCCACCTATACAATATAGAAGTACATGTATAGCTGAAATAAACAAGCCCTTGCCTATATATCCAACCTATACAATATAGAAGTATAGCTGAAATATACAAGCCCTTGTCTATATATCTCACCTATACAATATAGAAGTATAGCTGAAATAAACAAGCCCTTGTCTACATCTCCCACCTATACAATATAGAAGTATAGCTGAAATAAACAAGCCCTTGCCTATATATCTCACCTATACAATATAGAAGTATAGCTGAAATAAACACGCCCTTGTCTACATCTCCCACCTATACAATATAGAAGTATAGCTGAAATAAACACGCCCTTGTCTACATCTCCCACCTATACAATATAGAAGTATAGCTGAAATAAACAAGCCCTTGCCTATATATCTCACCTATACAATATAGAAGTATAGCTGAAATAAACACGCCCTTGTCTACATCTCCCACCTATACAATATAGAAGTATAGCTGAAATAAACAAGCCCTTGTCTACATCTCCCACCTATACAATATAGAAGTATAGCTGAAATAAACACGCCCTTGCCTATATATCCAACCTATACAATATAGAAGTATAGCTGAAATATACAAGCCTTTGTCTATATCTCCCACCTATACAATATAGATATATTTCACACCATCAGAAGGCCTTTGGACAAGTTAGTAAGTAGTTAGTAAGTAGTAATTGATTAGTAATTGTAGTAACTGAGTGTGTGAGCTATGTTTTACACTGCTTTGAAACATAACTATGGTCTGGCAGATGTCAGAGAAAAGCCTGTTATGATACAGGTCTCAGACATTGCTGGGTATAGTGGTGACAACACCAGGGATCCTATTCAGGGTGAATCTAGGATTCTGACCCATGATCAGCGGATCCTGACATATCAGAGGGACACAACTCTCAACAATGACTTCAGTGCCTTTCACTTCCAAGACTACCGAGCAGTCAAGCCCCATTTTGAATGTGACTAAATTGTCTTTCCCCAACTGATGACATATGTCATTATGTAAATGAGTTTTATATCACCACAAAGCCTTTATGAGGGGGAAAGATTACTGCTATTATACCCTGTGAAACAAACGTGTGCTGCACATACGCTACATTACATGAGACATGACAAAGAATTGTAACAATATTTATGACAAAATACCATTTCTGCTGGAAAAAGTACTTTTTCTGTACACTAATAATGTCATTGCTTTATTTTCCTAAAAAGGATTTTAAACGATTTTTGAAAGTCAAAGGCACCATATGGTAGCCGATGTATCTTCATCGCTTCAAATGTCCACAATTGAATTCCTCTTTGAGAACAATCAGCCTATAGTGCATATCAGGTTATATTTTGCCTCGTTTCCATGGAAACAGCAAAAAACAGACTTTTCATAACAACCAGCTTAACTTCAACCTCTTTGTGGGATGATTTAACACATAAAAAAACCCATATAAAGCAAACAGTGTTTTACTTCAGCACACAAAGCCTAACAAGCATATCAATATGTTTAATGTTGTTGCAGCACAACAGACATAATGGGTATTGAAATAGCAAAGACTGCAAAAAAACCAACACACTTTCTGGCAACATGTGCAAATGTCTATTCTGATGTCTTAAAGAGCTCTTGAAACCTGTTCCAGCTACAAAATATGGACAAGAGGATTGTTGAATGAAGAACGTCAGATGGAACAAAAACACTCTCCAAAACAAGGGATGAGGTAGTATCATCAGTCTGTCAGGGGATGAGATTCACTTTCAATAATTTGGCATAATTTCTAAAGTGAGTGAGTGAGCTGGGTTTAAGGCTTTGTGAACAGTTTTGTGGTTATATCCCGATGTGCATGGTGTGAAGCCAGAAGTGATGCAGGGATGCACACTGCAGTTGCAGAGGTGTGTCCCGGGGCCGTAACAGTTAGGGCTGGCAAAAAGAACGATAATTAGAATTATCGGTGATGGGAAGAAATATCAACGATTATCAATATGAAATTTGTGTCATTGATAACATCTTCTATAAACTATTGTAATGAAATAAAGTTTAGATTTACCAAAACAGACTAGTTATTGTCAATAATGTCAATTGCTGAAGGTGGAAAGCAACTGTTTTTGTTATAACTCAAATGTCCACAAAGTAATGTGTTTCCTTGATAAAGCCTAACTTCCATTTTGAATCTGCTCTTGAAGCAAGCGCAGGCGACTAATTAATATCTGGATAACAACTCGAAAGAATGCTGTGTTACATATGTCTCTTTTGGTGCACAGAATATCATGAAATCCTGGCCAAGGAAACCCCTGTACATTAATTTTGTGATACTCTTGTAGTCCGTCCCCCCCATATATTCCAATTACAAGACTGGACATGAAAAGGAATTATTTGGTATTCCTTCAAATTAGCAGAATTAAGCAAATGAAACAACGAGTGTATACTGCATGGCTAGTTCTATATTAGGCTCATTTACAGGTTCAAAAGAAGCAATCTTGCTGAATGCACTCATCCTGGAGCGTCATGTTATCAGATCTTGAGATCAATATATGGGTCAGTGGAAACACATTAGAGATTTGTAGATGGCTTAAGGCCAATACATCTCCATGATATCATCTGTGAAGGGGGTACCACAAACACAAACATGTGTTGTTAGTTAATGTTACTTTGATTGTATTTCAGGTAAAAATGTAGTTACGTATGAAACAGCTCAATATTTGAATGCATTTGATCTTGTATACTTTTGAATCATCTCTACAGTACAGTACAGATAACACACCCAAAGTGACAAGGAAATGGCACACAAGGACGAGGATGACCTGGTTTGTGAGACTGAAGCAGCTCAACCTGTGTCCAGATGTCAGCGAATAGATTAACCTAAGGGTCACACAAATTAGGATAATGGCTATCTATTTCTGATACTCATTATTCTGTGAGAACACTTCGAATATTTCAGTCCATACATTTCTCAAAATTTAAACAAAACTCTGATTTAAATGAGGGCGGGCAATTAGGAAATGAGGTGAACAAGGTGAGGTAATGTGATTTAATGTCGCGTCCAAGATTTTTGCATCTATATAGCAATGTGCATGTATGTGTGTGTTTGTGTGGATGGCTGCTTGAACTATAGTCCTGACTAATGCCGATTTTATAGTGCCAGGCCACTGAGACACCAGGCCACTGAGACACCAGGCCACTGAGACACCAGGCCACTGAGACACCAGGCCACTGAGACACCAGGCCACTGAGACACCAGGCCACTGAGACACCAGGCCACTGAGACACCAGGCCACAGTTTAACATCAGACACAACATACTGACTGAGCCGACCATTAATGCTGAGCTCCAGGCAGGGTTACAACAAATAACATCTTTTATTGTCCTTTGATATGACGCAGGGTTTGAACCCCAAACGTTCTGCTCTCTGGGCAGATGCTCTACACTTAACCATGGAGACGCTCCAATTAGGAAATGAACATTTAATGCCCGGAAGTTTTAAATGTTTAAATATCCATGCAACTAAAGACTCACACAATCCTGAAAATAATGTGTATCAACTTTGAAAAAATGAAAGTGGCTCTTTTTCTACTGATACTGTACTGTCACTGACTTGCCACAGTGTCAACATACAACGGAGGATGTGATATGTTTCCATAGCAACTAAAGTGCCTTGTTAACCGAATGAAGAGGAAATCAATCAACCAATAACACTGCACTGATATATATTAATGAAACAAAACTTGAATAATTACAATAAAATAATATTCATATTGCCATGAAGAATGCAAAGTTTCAAATTTGGGACTGAGAATAAACCTGATGATGCTTAATGAATTCACATGCAGTGAAAAGTCAGCTTTACTAACTTTCAATCCAGTGGGTAATATTTTACAACCAATCAGACTGCAGCAGACTGACATCCCACGATCCCATCTGTGATACACCATCAACATGATGTACATGGCAATATCAAGGGAAGTAGATGGTAATACCAGGATGTAGCTACACTTTGTGTCCTAAGCGGGCATATTGGCATTGTTTGATATACCTGACAGCCAGAGACAGTCTGTTTTGCTGACAAACAGTCATTTTGAAATGTTGCACGAATGATTGTCAGGCTATTATTTCATTCCCTATAAATTACCTTAGTATTCTAGTTTTAATTCAATTAACAGTAAATGTTAAACACAATATCCTGTCATTTCCTCGTAAGTTGATATCAGTTTCTGTCCTCATATTCTATTGGCCAAATTTGATTTTCTCCAGTTGGAATGCATGTAGTTAATCTTTTAGGCTTGTACAGTTTATAAATAACAGCGCATGTACTTAATAAGTATTCCATAATGGTGAGATGCCCACTGTGTGTATGGAGCTCTGGTTAATGTTGTCACAATGGTGACGCTCTAGCTATGGGCATATGTTCTTTATCGGAGGGTTATCCGAAATTATGGGGCTGAGTTTTCAGATAGGGATGACTTGGAATTTGATGACATTTTTTTTTAATGAGTTAAAGTTACTAAGTTGCTAATCCACCAGTTTGTTATTTTCTGAGAACTAACATTAAGCTCTTCTTATGTCTACCCTTTTGTTACTTGTGTTTGTTTGTCTGGAAACATCTAATCTGGCATCATTTTACTGGTCTGGAAACTTTGCAAATAATTTTAATTTTATACACTGATATTGGGAAAAGATGGGTATCTTGTCCAAAATTGGGAATTTCTTAATGTTCTTATTTTCTTCAAATCAGATGTATTTTAACATTGCAATTAAAACATGAATGTAAATGAAATCCTATTCCTTTTAATTGTTCCTGTTTCCTGTTATCGTAGAAATCCAAGTCACCTCTACACTCCATGATATTATCTGTGGCTTTATTAACATGACTTACAGTCCTTTTGACTCCAAATGAGAACGATGAATTGCAAAATAACTCGAAATCCAGAAAAGTATATGAAACATCAATACGGTACTTGACCATGAATACCCTGTACCCAACAAAATCTGAATTTTGTTTATTTTAAGACCCATGACGAATGAAGTTCTTTAAGAAACTATCATGTAATTTTGCATAGAAATGTGTACATGACACGTAGGGGGGACATACCGTGGAAGGCACAGCGCAAGCACGCATGCACTGCACATTCTGTGGTAGGGGAAATGACAGCGTTAGAGGGGCCGTCTCATGATAATTTCAGTCGCAATCTGACTCACTCATGCCATAGATCTCGTCGTCGGAACTGCTGGTGCCTGAACCAACTGCCACTATTATAGGTTGGACTGTTGCTGGCCGTAGTCCATCTCGTGACCAATAACGTGGCTCTATCTCGTCAACGACTGTGGCCACACAACGCCTCCATGTTTCTACTGTTACCCGACCAAGGGATTCCTTTACGAGTTGTTCAATGTCTCGTAATTTGAACGTTGTGTTCGATCGTCCAACGTCACCCTTGACGATGCCTCATACCAACTCGATTGGATTCAAGTCGATGTGATAAGGTGGCAGTCGTAAGACAGCGTGACCCTGACCCTTGATGTAACTGTCAACTTTATACACGGGGTCAGGTTTCATAGTTTTGATGATTTCATAGAGCTGTGGTTTCGTCGCTCGAGAAGGAAAGGTAATGTTCCTCCGTTGCAGCCAAGTAACCATGCTCCTTTACGGTTATTAGAGATTGGAGTCTTGCTTTCTGGATCCTGCACACTATGATACGGTGCATTGTCCATGACAATGAGAGACTTGGTAGGCAAAGCAGGGACTAATTTATCTTTCACCCACTCCAGAAATACATTGCCGTTCATTTCTGTGTGGTAGTCCCTGTTGTCTTTGGCCTTGGCTCTAAAGACGAGGTCACAGTCTGGGAGAAAACCCTGACTAGCAGAACCAGCATGGAGAACTATGAGTCTTTCACCCTTTCCCATTGGTAACTTTCTACCAGACTCCTTACAGTCACCACTGTTTACCCACTGACTGCTGCCTGTGTGTGATGCATTTACCCATGTCTCATCTAAGAAGACGGACTCATATCCTTCTTCACGTTTCTGCTTGATGGTACGAAGGTAATGATTTCGGAGACGAACAATGTCAGACCGTTCACACAACACAGCCCTATTTTCTCCAGTTATCTTTTTGTATTTGTAACCAAATGTATGCAACAGCTGCCATAGTTTGTACTTTGTAACACGTAAATCATGGTCAGTTTCAAGGTGTTTCTTCAAAATTCTTAGGGACAGGAACTTATTTTCTGAGTGCAGTTTAACAATTGCACGTCTGACTTGATCCCTCTGAAAACTGTCTAATTTATCAACCTTGCATGGTTTTGACATGTTCCCTACCTCCTTGGCCTGACTATTTGTATCTCGTCGACTAACAACATTTTTAAGTTTCTGAGGGGACATACCAAGAGCTTTTGAAGTTCGTTTCAAGAATGTATTAATTGCATAAAAAGGCTTTGCTCTTTCTGCTTCACTTCTAAAGAAATCATACACATTCAACATCAACTGTTTAACATCTGCTGAGTAGCGCATCTTGTCATTGAATGAACACGGTCACTGTGTAGCACGTGCAGACCGTGCTTGCACTGTGCCTTCCACGGTTTGTCCCCCTACGTGTCATGTACACATTTCTATACAAAATTACATGATAGTTTCTTAAAGAACTTCATTCGTCATGGGTCTTAAAATAAACAAAATTCAGATTTTGTTGGGTACAGGGTATTCATGGTCAAGTACCGTATTGATGTTTCATACACTTTTCTGGATTTCGAGTTATTTTGCAATTCATCGTTCTCATTTGGAGTCAAACGGACTGTAGGTAACTTTCAATTCCAATTTGGAATTTGTACCTGACATGTGCTGCAGACTTGGGGTCGAATATCAGCCTCTCAGCATGTTTAGATAAATCTTTGATACCAACTAGATCTACTAGGATGTGTTATTGCCTTATACATGCCTATAGTACACCTTGTTTCATCTGTCTGGCATGTCGACTAAGAAACACTGGGGATTTCCTGTTAGAATACTCCCCAGCAACCTATGCTGGTTGTTTGTTTGTTGTTTGTTGTTTGTTGTTTGCCGCACTCAGCAATATTCCATCTATATGACAGCCGTCTGTAAATACTCGAGTCTGGACCAGACAATCCAGTGATTGATATCATCAGCAACGATGCAAATGGGATACGATATGCTGGTCGCTAAAGGTGAAAAAATGGATGGGGTGGTCAGGCTTCTAGACTTGGTTGACAGTGACATTATACGCCAACAATGTGGATTGTTGCACATAATAACAGTCGTCCAGACTTGATTATCTACAGGCCACCATCATATACCTGCAATATTGCCGAGTGCCGAGTGCTTATCGGGATAGTTGTATTGTGTAGACAGATTTTCAATGAAAATATATGGGTATTGAGAAACTGTATTTTTCAAATCTTCAATGACTGATTATTTATTGTCTTGTGTCTCAATCAGCGATATTCAGCGACATCATGACTGCTGTAAGACTAATCAAGTAGGATTCAGAAAAACTAGTGGTTGATAGCCTGAGCAATAACCTGCCATCAGGGTAGGATTACACACGGACATGTTAGTCAAATAGATAAGCATAAATTAAGACTTGGAATTCTTGAGGGGCAGTGTAATAGCCTAAAGATGCAGCAATTACTCGTCCTGTCTTATTTCCAGGTTTGATTTCCCACAATGTGTGAAATGTAACCCATACCAAGTGTCCATTATTTGCTAAAACCAGCGTAAGAAAACATACTCTCTCACTTTAGATATGACAACACATAAACTGTATACAATTGTGTCACAAATATATGTCAAGTATTGGTGACTTTAATCGCGAACACAAATAATAATACAATAATATAAGTTTACAGCATCCCTAAATGACCTTGAAAACAATTCAGGAACCCGAAATCAAGCTGACAAAACTCACCAAGAGGGGCAAGGCCCACCAACCAATCAGAGAGCTCTTCTCTATCTGTTGCGATCTGCAGAGCGCCCCCAATGTTGCCCTTCCATATCTCCATCTGTATGGCGTAGTCCATGCTGTCATTGTTCAGATGGTACTCGCCTGCAAACACAACATCACCTTTACTAACAAAAGCACAAAAACAACTAAATATGACCAAGGAATAGTGCTGGGATGGGTAACTTGGGTACAATGGTCCTGTGGGTACTGAGTAGGATCCTGGAACACATTGGACTACCTGAACCCGAGGTCGTTTAATGACAAGAAATCTTTATAGCTCCATTGTTACACTACAAGTTTCTTATGTTTGCATTTCTCTCTGACTATGCACACGTTCCTTCTGACTTGCATATGTTTGAGTTAAGATAAAGCTTCAGTCAACTTCAGTGTATGCATAATCAGGTCGGTTTATATGTGTACCTAAATAGTTTTTGCCAGGGCTGCAGTAAAACAGTTTCTAATCAGACATTTTGAACCAACTCTTGAGACCTACAGCAAATAACCAGGTAGGGTTGGGTAATAGAGGGGTTGGGTACCTGGGTATTAAATTTGGACTCATCCTAGACCCTCAATCAATCAAGTTGTAAACAAGGCTTTCACAATATACACACATTCATAAAACTGCCCACACAGAAAGAAGTACAATGAACGATTCCAACCATGTTATAATTGATGCCGGCTTATTGGCATCTTGCAAGCATGTATTAATAGCAACGAGGCTCCATACCACACATTGCAAAGATTCTGTAGGTTCATTTACAGCGTTTCGACAGGAGCAAGCCTCAGATCTAGGATTCTACCTGTCGCACAAGATGTCTCAAAGGTACTGAGGACCTGACAGATTGAGGGGATCTGTCAACTGACTGCATGAGTCTCTTGATGTCGTAAGATCTTTAGGAACATGGCCTGGCTCTTGCACATGACGTCCTTCACTTCGTTTTTGTCCAACTCCAGGTAAAATTCTCACATGCATTTATGCAGTTCATGGACAGCACATCAAGCATGCATAAAGTTTTCATGAACAGTGTAATTTTCTTAAAGAAGAAAAACATATTAATGATCATATGTTGATTTGGTGTGCAAGATAATTTTATGGACAGTCTGCCAACCCTCCACTGAAGTTGATTTTTTAAACATTTTTACAATGTTCACGACAAACTTCAGATGACACTTTGGTGTTCATAATTTCCCAATCAGTGAATGAAATAAGAACATGAAAGTTCATGAATCCTTCATGAGCTGTTCATGAACATTTCAACAGCATCAACATTATCCGGAGACTAAACGTCCTCCTACACAGAGGATACACCATCTATTCTAGAGATATCATCCAGATAACACCAACAGGTCCATTAATCAGGCAGGATCATAAAGCCAGCCTCCACATCTGACCAACCATTGCAAACCCCAGCCCCATCAGTCTGCCATCAGTGTACCATGGCAAACACACTGTAGTAACTACAGTGGCAACTCTAACATTCCAGTGTCTTTGTTAATTTCATTCCTGAAGCGACTTTGCAAACACTGAACTGTCGGGTCAGGGACACATATTTACAGTCCATGTACAACATCTAAAAAAGGCAATAAATATTGATCACTCCAATGCAATAACACATCAGTTGTAAACAGTGTCACACCTTTTTCAGATTGTAGCAAAGCAACAACCATCTGGCAAGAACTTCAAAGTTGGTGTCAAGATAAAATTGAAATAACACTTAATATTTTGAGGCAACAAATTAGTCTTGTTTCAATCGAATAAACGTAATAATAATTGAATACACAATCCCATTTAGAAAGTGGTCAGTGGAACAAATGTTATATTAGGGATAACACTTTCTTAGTAAAGTACAAGTACAAGTACTTTTGGGGGGTTGAGTCCCACCCAGGATTCGAACCAACACTCTCAGAGTGAGGCACCTGATCACCAGCACATGAAGTCAGTGATCTAACCCACTCAGCCTCCGAAGCTTCCACAAAAAGAAAGTCTGACAACTGGTAGTCTAGATCACATACTTAGTGTACCCCCTGACAAGTGTAAATTGGCACGGCTCCCTTGGCCAAAGTCCATGAAAACACAATGCCATTAGAAAGTGGTCAATGGAACAAATATTATATTTGGGATAACACTTGAACAAAAAATACTAGAATGTGTACTTTTCTAAGAAAGTGTTATTCCAAATACAACTTTTGTTATTATTCTAATTCTTTTCAAATTTATCCTATTTAAGTATACACCCACTAAACACACACCAACTTTCTGGTTCTAGCAGCAGGAACTACAGGTACTATCTCTTTAGAAAATGTTCATCTGTCTTTAATAGATGACTTTAACAAATACTGGTCAATGTGTCATAGCCTACCATTATTTACAATGTAAGGTCATGCAAAACTATACATTATTATTGCAATTAACATGTAAAATGTAATCATGTGCAACCCAGTACAAAAATGGATCACTGTTTCTTGACATGGTCACAAGTACATTGAAACAAAAACAAATGTTTATTGTCAGAATATTGATACTGGGTATATATCAGACATGACTATCTCACACAGGAATATTTAATAAGCACTGCTTAACCTTTTCCCTCTGTGTACAGTGTCACTCATACTATATCTGTGTAGTTTGGCCTGAAGACTGATAGTATTTCCTTCTCGCATCCTCCCATTCACAACCTGTACCAGATAGCAGTGATCACTCATCACGGCGTGCAGTAGATGGGATCTTCATACTGTGTTCAATACCATTTATCACCCTGAGGCATATGTGGGGGCTATTTCTAATACTTTTAGAAACAAACAAATAATGTATTTAATATAGTAATGATAACCTAAGGCATGTCACACGATATGTGGGGGCTATTTGGAAAACTAAGTATTGTTGATGGCACATCATTTGGTATTTTGTCAACATTTTGTAGACTGAGTGAGTCCAGGCCTCACAAACACAAGGTTAAGTGGCTGTTTGATTGTCAGTTGTTTAACGCCGCACTCAGCAATAATCAAGCTATTTGACGGCGGTCTGTAAATAACTGAATCTGGATCAGACAATTCAGTGATTGACATCATGAGCATCGATCTACGCAGTTGGGTTAAGATGACATGCACCAGCCAAGTTAGCGAGTCTGACCATCCGATCCTGTCAGTTGCCTCTTAAGACCTAGTCTAACCTGGACCTTCACGGGTTTTCGGTGGTTGTGTGCAGCCTGGTGTTATGTACTGCTATAACCAGATACATAGTACTTCATAAGTGAAATATATATTCTATTTTTATAATTATCACTAACACATTGTCTATATAACACCTTTTCAAAATTCAAAAACATTCTAAATGAGAACTGAAACATTTCAAGTATACCCAAAAATATGAATTCCAGAAGCTGATTTTTGCCAAATCAGGATGACAATAGTCTTCCATCCAACTCAGTGGATGAATTACATGTCAGAACAACAAGCCCCAAAACTAAAAAGATCACCAAACTTGAACACTGACAAAAACAAACACAATCTGATAAACTTACTGCAATGTCCACATAAGTCTTTGACAGGTGTCAGATGAAGCCCCAGGATAAGTATCCAATACACCCTGCAGTGCGAGACTCAGACATACATAGCTCACTGAACCCTCACTTCCTTACCCACAGACCGGCTGGCCCACGTGACAGTTTGCGTATGACTCTGACCCGGAGGTCACCAAACAAGATCTGATCATTGCCTCTGTCTTGTCAACAAATCAATGACTGATGCAAGCAAGGGATCAACATGGTCTTAGGAGTCAATCAGCTGAGCAACAGGCACACACTCCTGTCCATCACAAGATCCACATCAACCAATAGAGTGGTTTCCCACTATAGGTGGACTGTAGAGGGTGTTTGTTATACGGATTGGACCCACAGTGTCTAAGCTTGCATTCATGCACTAAACACTATTCTTAGGCTATAGGGTTGAAAGGCCTGATCGGTGAGGCTTGCTATGAATGACTGAAATATTCTTTGATGGTATTATATACTGACAAACATAACATAATGCAATATGACATGATATTCGATCCAGGTAAAAAATACTCTATTTGTGTAAAAGTGTGTTATTGTTATCTGGGAGTAATATTTTTTTGGGGGTTATTATTATGAAGATCATAAAAGTGTCAAGAATCCATTGATATACAATTCAACTGTGGGTAGGGATATTGTGAAGGTCCAGGTGGGGAGAGAATGGGACTCACTGCTTGGAGGTGTTGTCATACCAGTAGTATTCAATGTTATCAAGGGACAGCTGCATTTTCACCTCCATTTCTACTTTGAACAGCCTTAAGTACACATTTCAATTGTTGACCTTTGAGGTTTGTAATTGTTTTATCTATTGAACAATATATACTTCTAAAAAGAGGTTAAAGAACAGCTGATTTTTTCCTATGACTATAGCTAATCTGTCCTGGCCATAACAGATTAACTGTAGTCATATAAACAAATGGTAACAGCCTAATTGGTCAATTACCTGGAATGAAGTCGATCTGATCGGTCAAAAACACTTGAGTGCATTCACACCCAATCGGTCAAATTGGTGGAGCTAGCCAAGCCTCTTGGGACCTCCCTATTTATTCTGTTAGAGGTGTAAGACAATAGTGAATGGGTGGTGATTTGAGACCCCATGTACATACATGTTTGTATTTATTATAAGTTGTTTCTATCCAGCAGGCAATTCTACAGTAGCATCACAGCAACATCACAGCCAGCAACACCAGAGCAGCAACACCAGAGCAGCATCACCCATGGTAGTCATCTAACACAACCTCTTCAACCCCATGGTAGTCATCTAACACAACCTCTTCAACCCCATGGTAGTCATCTAACACAACAACCTATTCAACCCCATGGTAGTCATCTAACACAACCTCTTCAACCCCATGGTAGTCATCTAACACAACCTCTTCAACCCCATGGTAGTCATCTAACACAACCTCTTCAACCCCATGGTAGTCATCTAACACAACCTCTTCAACCCCATGGTAGTCATCTAACACAACAACCTATTCAACCCCATGGTAGTCATCTAACACAACCTCTTCAACCCCATGGTAGTCATCTAACACAACCTCTTCAACC